AAAATTTCCTTACTTTTTTTCCTTTTCATTCATAGATTTTTTTTTTTTTAATTTCTTCTTCTGCTGAGAAAGTATTGAGACGAGTTTGGCGATAAGAGGATGTGGGTTTGAGGTAACAAAAAAAATCTCATTTTTTTATGAATTCTCTTAATTGGATTTTTATTTGGGGATTTCCAATTTCATCTGCTTAATTTTCACTAGATTAAAGCTTTGTTTTTTTTAATGTCAATTTGGTACAAGCTTGTCCTAATATTTTGCAGATTCTTTGTTATCTAACTTTAGATTTCGACTTTGATTATTTTTTTTTCTTCTGCTCAAGATCCTATTTTGACTCGTCGGCGTTAGAACTCATCCGTTTTGAGTCAAAACCCTTAGCTATATTTAGTTTATCACTTTGTGTTTAGTGTTGACTTTTTGAGGAATTTGAAGCTACTCTTAAATGGGTTTATGGAGATTTAACTTGATAGAGCTCATGGAGTTCTAAAGTTCTTGTTTTTGTGGCCAATTTTCAATGTCTTTGAATCAGATTTGTGTTAGTCTTTTGGTCAAGACTAAAGTTTGGATTTTTGTGAGCAGGAATGGGAACAAAGGTGCACTGTGAAAGCTTATTTGGTGGATATCATCACTCTATGAGAGATCTCAACAAAGAATCTAACGGTTGTAGATGGCCATTGTTCTACGGTGACAATAAAACCTCTGCATCAAACAACAACGATCAATGCTACAATGGCTTCACGTCGCAGACTACATTTGGGTTTGACAAAGATGTGGTGAGAAGGACAATGCTCGAACACGAAGCTGTTTTTAAGACACAGGTTACTTACTTGAACATTCTCTCTGTGACCTTTCTCACTTCCTCTGGCTTTTGGTTGATTGTATTTTGTATCTTTTAACCAGGTTTTGGAACTTCACCGGGTATACAGGATACAGAGGGATATGATGGATGAACTGAAAAGGAAGCAGTTTAATAAAGAATGGGTTCCGATTGAGGCATCATTTTCATCTCAAGCTACGAATGATGATGTCCGTAAATGGAAAATCCCTAGCTTCCCTTTGGCGAACTCGGTTTACGATAGACCATCCATGTCAGTGGTTGAGGATAATGGCCATTCTCCTATGAAAGGAAGCAATTCTCAAGGGGTTGTTGGTCCAGTTTCATGGCAAAATAGAGCTAGTTCCAAAAATGTTGAAGTTTCCGAGGTTAGACCGACGAAAATCAGAAGAAAGATGATAGATCTTTGCATTCCAGCTGATGAGTACATTGATGACAATGAAGACGTTGTTGAGTTAAAAGATCACAGAGTTTGCAGCACATCGAATCATCTTCCTAATGGAGATGTGAAGACTGAATCTTGCAGAGATGGTATGAGAATTGGGTATGGGTCGAGTAGAAGCAATGGTTTGGCTGACTTAAATGAACCAGTTGATGCTCAAGAAGCAAACGAATTTGCTTATGGCCACTCCCGTGACTTGCGTAATGGCGAGTTTCAAGACCATATTCGCGACTACGGAAAATCTCTAAACTCGGGTAGTGTAAGGGAGCATATTCCTGTTATCCCTCCGCAACCAGATTTGAACGGCAGACCAAAAGTTTGGCCACACCAACCCTTAAGAACTGGTAAGATGATCTATTAACTTGTAAATGCTATTGTTGGATTTTCTTCTATGGTCACACATGTTTGATGTTACTTACTTTTTCCGGATGTTTTCATCTGAAATCCACCATTTTGCAGATCATTATAATGGGAATGGCACACACAAGTCTGCTGCTCCGTTTTTTCAACCGGCCAAGCCTCTGGATTCATCGTCTCAGCCTATGCAAGTTTTGATGAACAGTTCACAAAGAGTTATGAGTTTACCTAATTCAGGTCCACCAAGTAAGGCAGTCTTCTGGAGAGAAAGAACGTTTATTGACCTTGAGGCTGATACTGATACCAATAGTAGTCATGATGCTGTCATTCATCAAAATCACTTGGATTCAAGTTTAGCTTCTCACCAACAGCGCCACTTGTATCCATATAATCGTCCAGATTCTGCTGTCTCGTGGAACCATTTACACTCTTCTTGGCAAAATCCTAGCTTTGGATTCCCTCAGAAAGTTGCTTCAGCGCAGAGATATCCGGTTCTAAACCTGTCTGACACTCTGATTAGTAATGCTCAGAAGCAAGGGTATCTTGGAGACAGACTGCAGTTTGAAAGCAATCCTAGATTTGACTCGGGGTGCGGGAATTCCAGTCAGTTAAACCAAAACATGTTTTACAATGAGTGTTCCACTTCATCAAAATCGAAATTTGCTGGGACTGGCTATACTTATCCTAAAGGAGGAAGAAGTGATTACAGCTCGGAGATGAAGTTTGTGAGAGATTTGAACTTAAATGTGACACTTTCAAACACTTCTGTTGTTGAAGTCAGAAAGGATGAAGAACACGTGGCTACTTTACCATGGCTTAATAAACCCAAGTCTGTTTGTAACTCTGAGATAGCTGATGGGAAATGGAATCTGAAGAGTAATGATGCTGTTCTGAGTTCTTCTTTGAAACCATTGGATACTAAAGATGAGGCAAGAGACAAAGTTCAGAACAATATGTGGCTAGAGAGGTTAAAGTCTGGTTCTTGTTCCAATAATTCGGAGACTGAGAAGATCAAAGCTAACACAGAAATTCCTGGATTTGCTTATAAAGATCAATCCAATGCAGAAAAAGGTAAAGTCCATAATGTTAGGATGCTAGATATGAACGAACCGTGTGATCCTCTTTGGGATGAAGATCAGCAAACAGAGGAACAGACCGGGACAAGGGTTTCGGTTGGTAATAGGAGTCAGATTGATTTGAACATTTTGGGTAGTGATGATGAAGGCGAAAATTGCTCTGTTCCTGCCAGTTCAAGACTGAATTCAAAGGCCCCTATGATAGATTTAGAAACTGTTCCCGAATCTGATGATGAAGAAGAAGATAATATCTCTGGAGAAAAGCCATCAGAAGAAATCCCATTAGAGGAAAAAACTATAGAGAAACCGCCTGAGTTTGAAAAATTAGCAGCAGACACAATAGTTGCCATCTATTCAGCTTGCCTAGATAGAGAGCTTGAAGTTGTTGCTTCATCAGAAGTTTCTGAAACCATCATCCTTCACTGGTTTGCAGAAACAGTAAATACTCACAAAGAGAATCTGGACGAAAAGCTCGATACTTTCTCGAAGAATCAAGGACGTTCTATCGAAGAGATTGATTACTTTGAGTCAATGACCCTGAAACTACCTGAGATCTCAGAAGGAGAGTATATGCCTAAGCCATTGGTTCCTGAAGACCTCAAATTGGAGGAAACTTCAGGAACCGCTCTGGTCACAAGCCAAAGACCGAGAAGAGGAAACGCGAGAAAAGGGAAACAGAGACGAGACTTCCAAAGAGACATTCTCCCTGGACTTCTGTCTCTTTCGAAACACGAAGTAACAGAAGACATTCAAATGTTTGATGGGTTCATGAGAGCAGCAGGAGGCTCCTGGACTCCAACCGGTTTAACAAGGAAGAAAACCGGTTCAAGAGGAAGACCACGACGAGTCATAACAAACCCTGCTGAACCAGTAGTCTATTGCCCGGTACCAGCTCCAGCTCCTCCTCCCTCGGTTCAACATGTGAGCAATCAAAGCAACAATGGTGAAACTGAAATGGGTTTAGAAGATAGAAGCTTTGCAGGTTGGGGTAAGATGACAAGAAGGCCTAGAAGACAACGATGTCCTTCAGCTTCAACTACAACTGCAACTACAAGTAACCAACGTTCATCATCACACGCGCCTTTCACGTGACAATGTTGAAACTTTGGGAATGTTTGTTGTGACCATGAGATTATTACTGTACCAGTACGATTCTTTTCAAAACTTTTTCGTATAGAGAGAGATATAATATAAGAGAACCGTTTGTGATAGAGATTTTCATCGACTAATTCTTTTTCTTTTAGCTTGGTGAATACATGAAGATATTTATTCCTTTTTGCCTAAAACACTTAAAAAGTTAAAACCACCTAATCTCACGACACGTCATCATCTCTTGAACTCAGACCGTCCGATCAAAAGTTTCTCAATTTTAATTAGAGAAAATTGGAGCAATAGAGCCATTTTCAGGCAATGCAGCTACTACATGTTGGAATCAAAGAGTTTGAAGCACTTAATAGAAACTATGAATAACAGGACATGATTTTCTCTTACCTGAATTCCGTAAAGAAGATTGGTTAGGAGCTTCACCAGATGGAGACATTCATGTGGATAAAAATGGGGGTTGTGTTCAAGTTGTGTGCTTGAAGTGAAATGTCCATTTTATGATGAAGATAAAAGACATGCTTATCAATGGAAGAAGATTCCTTGGTACTATGTTCCACAAGCTCAAGGTTTGATGGAGATTATGGATAGAGATTGGTTGGATTTGTATTGTTGGACTGTTAATGGAAGTAGTTTGGTTAGGATTGAGAGAGATTCTGTGTTTTGAGGAGATATGAGAGTGACACTTGTTGATTTTTGGGTGAAACATGTTATACCTGGGAGAGAGATGTTTAATAGTAGTTCTGTTGTAATGGATCCTTAATCCTTTAGTGGAACTGAGTGGTTTTGTGCCTGAATCTAGACATGAACGGTGCAATCAGATTTTGCATGGGACTCAGAGAATTATGATAACTCTAAGCGTTTGTTTTATGAAATTAATGGGGCAGATTCTAGATTAGATTAATGCAAATGTCCTATAATTGCAAGTAAATTGTTATTCATGTAATTAATTTGTACATTTACTTAATGATATGTTCTCTCTGTTTCTTGAAGTTGTATGATTTAGTATTTTGACACATTTAGTAGTTGCAATGCCAAAAATCTCACTATTAATTGAGTGAATTAGAAAATGAAACACTAGTTAGTCCAAAAGATGATCATATCACCAATCTAAAATCTGACGAATTCGAATCCAAAAGATGATCATTTTTGTCCCCTAATTTGGTTTTATAAACACCATGCCAGTAAGTTAAAGTATAATATCACACAACAAAGATGGATTAGATTCATGATTACCAGAAGTTATTACACTCACTCGTAACTCCCCACAACATAAACTAGTCCACAAACGATACTTAGTTATTTAATTACGAAAATGAAACAACAATTAAAGATCAAATCACTTCAAGAAACCTTGAGCCATCTTGGCATAACCTCCAAGCCCACCGCCAGACTCTTCATCGTCTTTCTTAGCCGCCGGCTCAGGCTGACTTGCTGGCTCAGCCTGACTCGCCGGAGGAGGAGGACCACTACCGGCGCCGGTGGAGTGTGACGACTCGTAATCGTTGAGATACTTCTCGGCCTTGTCGAGGTACTGACCAGTGCTACTCTTTTCATCGAACTTACCGTATTTCTCGGCGGCGTCTAAGATATCAGCAGAGGCTCCGGCGACTTTGCCCTTGTCAAGTTTGTCTGATTCGTTACTAGCTGCGGCTTGAGCAGCTTCAGCTACAACCTTGGCACTTGCCATGAGCTCGGCGTTGGTAGCTGGTCTTGTGGCTGTTTCGGTTCCATCGACTGGCTTCTTGTGGTCCGGCTCCTCTGGTGTCGAGCTTGAGAGTTTCTTTACCTGATCGGAGATGAAATTCATTTTTTTTTTTCTCTTGTCTGAATATAACTTTTTGTTTTGTTTTGGATGTAAGGTTAAGAGGTGGATATGTGTATATATAGACACAAACTGGATATGTTGGCCACACAAAGAAAAAAAAAAGGATATTATCTACTTTCATTAATGATAAGCCACTATAATTAATGTTCTAAATAACAATACTCATTTATTTATTAATTTTTGTTTGTATTGAAAATTAAAATAGTACTCCATATTTTACAACAAAAATATTATCAAGACATTTTATAAATTGAAAAGGATAAAAATATCTAATCACTATGAATATTGAATAATAATTAAAAAAAACTCTAATCAATTTAGCTTATGGAGTTTAATAATCACCAAGTATCAATAGTTCAATTGGTAAAAATTCTTAGGTCCAAAACCTCTTAGTAATTAAAAAAATTGTCTTACTATTTCTTAATAATGTTTTTCTATGTTAAAAGTGTATATTTGGACGTTGATGATACGCTAATTACTAAAGTTTGCTATCATTGTTTGTCGTGGCCGAAAAAGACATTTAGTGATCAGTTATTATTATTATGGGGGTGACCAATGTGGTGTTCTCTTCTCCATCACAAATTTTTATGATAAATATCTAAGGAATTATCGTTTTCCATTAAAGACTGTCGGTCGAAGCTTTGATTGATGGTGATAAATCCTTTTTTTTTTTTTTTTTTTTTTTTTTTTTTTTTGTCACGGGATGGTGATAAATCCAATCACTTGATTTTGTCGGTAGTGTAAAATTACAAGTTTGTTTTATAAAGACAAAAGCAAAATAGCACGAAGGTGGGCCTTTAAAACTAAGCTTGATAGAGGTGTACTAAGAGCATGATTATAGGTAGTTTCTTAGAAAATGTTTTTAGCAATATTTAAGTAATTTTTTTGTAAAAAGTGAGTGTTAAGAGATAGTATTTTTGAGTTAAGATTTTTGTGTGATTAATGGTAGGTTCTTAACATGTGGTTCTTAGAAAAAAAAATATTAATATAAAAATAAAATTTTTAATTTTAGAAAACTTAATAATGTTGCAAATTAAAAAATTTAAAATATATATGAGATACAATTTATAACATAGATGAGATAAAGCACAATAGTTTTAAATTTGATTTCCGGAAGATGAAAATCAGAAGCAATTCTTTTATTACACTAACAGAAGGTATCGTAGAAATTCTTTTTAATGGTAGAAAAAAGTTTTACTTTGCGCTTTGAACAAAATGTATTCAAAAGCTGATATGTTTACCACACAAAACAACAAGATATCAATGAAAGTAAGCCAAAGATCCGAGCATATAGTTTATTGGTTTATGCAACTATTTCCGGATACAAATCTATCGTTATGCATGTATGATCAATACAAAATAATAAGACATTTGAAAGCTCCAATTGTCATCAACTCCCAAAGAATTATTCAACAATGATCAACTCCAGCTTTAATCCGAGAGATAGAGTGTTCGAACACTAGTGTGTGCTCCTTTGACACGTTAAGCACTTCAAGAGCCTTCAAGTAAGGTCCAGGGTGTGGTTTGGGATGTTCACATTCAGAGCCAAGAATCACTGCTTGAAAGAAATCAGTCAAACCAAGTTTCGATATCATGAGCTCTGCGTTTTCTTTTGGAGCGTTTGTAACCGCAGCTCGTTTCAATCCACAATCTTCGATCCATTTGGTCAGTTTTATAAGCCCATCAAGTGGCTTTGTCTTTTCTGCAACAATTCTAATCAACAAGAAACGAACAAACACAAATTTACTCCAAATTAACTCAAAACAAGTTTGTGACATTTAAGAATAGGAACACAGAACTACAGCTTACTTGCGATAAAGAGCTTCTTTTTCATCACAGAATTTTAACCCTCTTGAAACATCATCAGGGAACAGAACTCGAGCAATTTCAGAATTGTGTTTTCCAGTATATGATTCACAGTTTTTCCAAGTCTTGCTGCAGTATTAAAGATATGATGATATAAAGAAAAGGAAATAACCTCTTGAAGCAGTTCTTGAAAGGCAATAAGGTGGATGAGATTGCATCGATCAAAAAGGATCAAACTTTGGATACATACCATAATCAAAAAGGTTTAAAGATTGAAAGCCAATTAGAACCATCTGATGTTTATCAACTAAAATCAGGAATTTTAGGCAACGAGTTGAGTTCCATTATTTGAATCAAGCAATTGAGGAATAGAACAATTATTTGAATAAAATATGAACTGAGAAAACAATAAAACGTACCATCTTGTTCAATCAAGATCAATCTTCCTAATCTCCTCCTTTGATGTTAAATCGCAAAACTCTTGGCTCTTGGTGGAAGACTTGTAAGCCAACCTCGCCGATTTGGTGAACCGAAGACGCCGTGGACAACCGGAGTCGGTGGAGATGACGAGCTAACGGTGGAACGACGGCCGGAGGTGCTTAACGTCGGAGACTCCTCCGATTTGAGGTGATTCCGGTTTCTCTCTGTTTGAGGAAATCGCGAAATGAGAGAAGAGAGAGAGAGAAAGAAAAAAAAAGCCACCTACTCGCATGCTGCCACGTGGACGTCTCTTAGCAAAGTTTTTGTCTCTTAGTTAACAGACGTTTCTTAGTTTAATTCGTGATTTCACATTTATTTTAATTCACCATTAATGCTAAGAACAAACTAAGATACTAGCGATAAAGATGCTCTAAAGCAAGTTATTGAGCTCATATTAAGTGACATTAATGGCCCAATTTTGACATTATTTGTGTTCTTAAAATAGCTTCACTTGTTAGGAAGTTTTTGTATAAACCGGTTTTTGTAAAATGGCTTCACTATGAGGAGCTTAATAAATTCAAGCAACAATCCATTTCTCAGTTGAATTTGGCTTTTGTCCTACTATAGCTCACAGTCTCACAAGCTATTATCACTGCCATCAATAGATTCATATATCTCGAAACAGACCAACTCTTCAACAAACTTTTCAATGGCTTACAAGGCTTTGATTAAAGTAAGCAATTATTCTCAGCCTATTCCTCTCTGCTCTTCACATAACATTTGTAGTGTTGTTGATCCAGTGAATGAGAAATAATCCATATAAACTGCATCATGCTTTTTGCAATTTATGTTATGATTGAAGCTGCTATACTTACTGGTGAATGTGATGTGATCACTGGATGAGAAACCATTCCAAAAAGTAGAGACAGAGAAGGAAAGGAAGTACAATTGTCTTTTGAGTGTTGTGTTGTTTTTGTTTTAAGAAAGTATCTTTGAGAGCTCTCTATAACATACACTTTTGGCTTTCAAGATCTTCTTTCTTTTACTGAAACCAATATCATCTCTCACGCACACACATACATACATATATATAACTGCAGTTATCTAATATCATCTGTTTTTTAGTGTCAGAAACAGCATGCTTTTCCAGGGAGTTTACCGGTACTCCGGATTACACCGGCCTTCTCCTTCACCTTGAACTCTTTGCTCTGTCTGTCTTTCTCCGCCTGAGCTCTGGCTCCAGCAGCAATCTGTTCAATGTATTCCGTGTCTTCTCTAAATCTCTGCAAACCTCTCTTCCTTCTCTGTTCTAGTTCGCTCTGCTGTTCATGTACCAACATGTTAGAGAATAATAATAAACTCAAGTTATCATTCAATTATATGATAATGATTATGAGAGTATATTATACAAAGTCATTATTATATTATCAACCTCAGACATGTCCAGCTTCCTTCGAGCTTTTTCCCTCTTCTTCGCTTCCCACAAATCGATCTTTCTGTTTAACTTCTCATACCTGCTTGTGTAATACATATGTGAGTGTTAATAATACACAAAAACTTATTTTTGTGTATTGAGACTACTTACCTTGCTTTGATCTTAGCTAGTTGAGCATTTTCCCAAGTATTAGCTGTAGAATCATCCTTTCGACTAGTGTGCACAGAACTCTGCCTTTTGGTTTCCCTAGGTGGAAGCCGCAGAGGCGAAGGTGATAGAGGAGGAGGAGGAGGTGGCGGTGGAGCATGACGTTCTGATCGTGTCCTGAGCGGTGGTTGTATCCGTTGCGGTTCAGAAACTGGTTTTCTTTGTCTTTCATGTTTCTCCTCTGACTCTTTACTCTGTTTGGTGTGATCTCCTCTCAAGTTCATGGAGAAAGTCTTTTTAACCGACGATGACTTTCTCACTGGGGACTTTAGTGTAGGTTGTTTATGATCTTTCGTCTCTGAGTCTATAAACGAAAGTTGTCCTGTGTCAACACAAAAACGTAAATTGATTTCAGACAACATTTTCAGTTGAATAACAAAATCTAATCTTGAGTTATTCTGTAACGTCACCTGAGAGTCTTCTTGATAAGCTTCTTGGTTCCTCTAAAGGCAACCGTTCTTCACTTCTGTTCTTGCTCCTTGACGAAGAAGGTCCAAGTTCAAGGCCACTCTGTTTCGTTTGAAATTTCAAACCACATCAAACTCAAATTACTAGAAAATGTTTACTCACAAATTTTTTTATTTTTATTTTTTAAAAAAACCCTTACATGATAATTCTCTAGCCAAGTTTCTTCAAAAGTGGCTATGGCATAAGCAGTGGCTGCAACTGCAGCTGCATGATCCATTTCGCCGATCGGGTCATAACTTTGGCCGCTCATTTGCCTCGAGAACTGCTTTTGTAACCAGTTTGAGGACTTCTTCTTATCTACCAACACACATGATATGATAATGTGAAATTAATGAAGTATCAAAGATAGGCTATCAAGAAAAACAGAGCAGAATTTTGTGGCACCTTCTTTGAATGAAACAGACTTCCTTGCCGGCACTTTTGTCTCTCTAGTTGAGCTACCAACCTCTCTAATTTTTTCCTGGGAAGCTGGATGCTTCCTCCTGAGACAAAGATGTCAACATGTTACATCAATATATGTATGTGTGTTCGAATAGACAAGATGAATTTGGAGATTTAGTGACTTACCTTGTCTGCTTGATCAAGGTATCCATTTTCAAACTAAAATATGGTGGGAGGATTTGAGAAGGTTTGGGTTAGATGTGTTTAAGGGTTTTGGTTTTTGAAGGGTTTTTGAGATCATTGCTTTGCATGCAAGTTTCATATTTGGATCATAAAGATGTGCAGGTAAAGTAAAGAACACTTTTTCTATTCTTTTCCCTCTTCAGCTTTTTGGTTCTTTGCTTTTTTCAGAACGACAGTGAAAAGAACAAACCAAGATTCCCCTTTTTTATTCAATTTTCACATATGGATAAGGAATCTTTAACATTCAGAAAACACATCAACTACAATCTCGCTTTAACAGAGAAAATGAATCTTAATAACCAGATAACAAATCAATCTTAATAACCAGATAACACTGCCAAATTCCAATCTGTAAATGAAACAGAGTTGTACGATGCTTAACTAAACAAGGAAGTCTGTGTCAGAAAGTTCAAGGACCTGATGTGCACCAATGGCCTTCACGTCTGGTTTGAAGGCATTCCCTTCTATGTACCTGCCACATACATCCACCAAGAATTAAGTTATATCATGGGTTCTATATATGGTCTTTTACAAAGAGACCTTAGAGAGGTTATGAAACCTACATATCTTTTAAGTTGGGATGCTTGTAGAAAGCTTCAGGGATACTTCCATTGAATAGATTGTGGTCCAAGTGCCTGAAGTTAAATCAAAACATGCTCTAAGGATGCAGAAGAGCACATAGGTCTTTCAGATCAATTCTTAGTTATGTATTTAGTAGAGGAGAGAGGCCTACAAGTTAGTTAGTCTTGGTATATTGGCAAGTGCAGCGGGTATTGCTCCAGTCATTTTGTTGTAAGATAAGTACCTAAACATAAAAGGATAAGATAGGGAGAGATAAAAATATGTAAGTGGTGTTCATATATCAAAAGATGTGATCAAGTACTCACAAGATCTCTAGGTTCGTTAGATTTGCAAGATTGTTTGGGAGTCCTCCAGTGAAGTAATTATTGTTTAAAAACCTACAGCCAAAAGTGAGCTTAGACAAAATACTACTTTTAATTGGTTAACTCTTAAACTCACTTACAGGTTTCTAAGAGCTGGAAAGCATCCTTCTATGCGAAAAAGATCGCTTATACTTCCCACTAAGTTATTGTTGCCAGCATCCCTACAGAATCATGACAGAGATATAAAGCATATCTGACGTCTGTTGCTTGATCTACAATAAAGAGAAATGAATGTCAAAGATTACAAGTGGCGAAGTTTTTGTAATGTTCCCAGCTCTGCCGGAATCCGCCCAGTAAAATGATTCTCCTGAATATGTAAGTATTGGAGCTCATGGAGATTTGCAAGTTCTTTGGGGATTTCTCCTCTGAAATTGTTAAAGCTTAGGTACCTGCAATAATAAGAGCATGTTACATAGCTCAAAGAAAAGTAGAAAACCCCTTCAAGAATGACATGAGCTAGGATTACTCACAGATTAGTTAGACTCTTCAATCCACCAATTTCAGGAGGCAGTACATGTTGAAGTTTATTCCACCTCAAATTTCTGTTTATAATACACCACAATACAAAACCAAACAAGATCAAGAAAAAGCAAGTAGCCAAACTGAATTCCTCAAGTTGAAGAGTATTACAGTGTCTTAAGACGCTTAAGCCTCCCAATTTCTGAAGGAATAGGGCCTGTTAATTTGTTATTGTGAAGATCCCTGCCAAATTCATAATCCAATTAAACAATCAATCATACACTCAGCAATGGATTTGCTTCCAATTTAGAAACCATTTGGTAGCATCGAAACCAACAAGAACCCAAAAGTTCTCAAATTTTCAACAATGATTGCAAAGTCAGTGAAACTTACAAAACAGTGAGATCTAAGAGCTTCGTTACAGCCTTTGGGAAATTCCCCACTATCGACATTGAATACACTTCTCTGCAAAATAGATCACAAAACATTTTTTAAGTGAAAAAAACAATTCAAAACCTCAAACTTTAAGAGATTATGAGTCAAAGATTACAGCTTGATGACGACACGATAATCACCAACTGTGGAGCAAGTAACTCCAGACCACGGAGGCAAAACTCCATCGCCACAAGGATCATCTCCGACCCAAGAGTAAACCAATCTCCATCCCACCAATCTCTTTACTTCATTCAAAGCTTTCACTACCAAAACCAAAACCCACAGCAGAAAACGGAAGAATCACAAATCTGGAAGCAATTGGAAGAGCTTACTGTCTCGTTTAAGTGTTTTAGCGAAGGAGACATTGATCAGCAATAGAAAAGCGCAAATCCGGAAGATCAGAGACAAGCTCAAACTCAGATTCGCCATTGATTATGCTTCAGATGATCTATAGAGCTTACGAAATCATGAATTCTTCGTGGGTTTAAGAAGAAGAGAAGAATCAATTTTATAAAATCGGAAAGTGAAATGGTGTGGGAGAAAGAAGAAGAATTATTTATCATCGCCATGGAAGAAAGCAAGCTCAGTGGAAACTAAACTAACCAAAAACGGTTCAAATTCCTTAATATTTTTATATAAATATTAATTAAAATAGGCCTAATAAGGTCCATATTGTTGGGCTTATATAGGCCCTTTTTTAAGAAGGTGATACGTCATAAATCAATATAGGTTTTAAAAATAGCTAACCAATCATAACGAACGATAAAAACGCCGTCGTATTAAACCACTGTTTATATATCTCCGGTGCTCCGGCAACAATTATTCTTACGTTCCTCCGTCGCCATGATCGCTAATTTCTCTTTCTTCTTCCTCCTCCTCTTCGTCTCCGGTTTCGTTTTCTCTGCTAATGCCAAAGCGACCATTTCTATTTCCCCTAATGTTCTGAATCGATCTGGCGATTCCGTCGTGATACAATGGTCCGGCGTCGATTCTCCGTCCGATCTCGATTGGTTAGGACTCTACTCTCCGCCGGAGTCTCCTAATGATCACTTTATTGGTTACAAATTCTTAAATGAATCGTCCACTTGGAAATCTGGATTCGGTTCGATTTCTCTTCCTTTGACCAATCTCCGATCAAATTACACATTCCGGATCTTCCGGTGGAGCGAATCCGAGATCGATCCGAAACATAAGGATCATGATCAGAATCCCTTACCAGGAACTAAACATCTTCTAGCTGAATCGGAGCAGCTGAGTTTCGGATCCGGTGTTGGTATGCCGGAGCAGATCCATTTGTCGTACACGAATATGGTTAACACGATGCGTGTTATGTTTGTTGCTGGAGATGGAGAAGAACGTTTCGTGAGATACGGTGAATCGAAGGATTTGTTAGGCAATTCCGCGGCGGCGCGTGGGATGAGGTACGAGAGAGAGCATATGTGTAATTCGCCGGCGAATTCCACTATTGGATGGAGAGATCCTGGTTGGATTTTTGATACCGTTATGAAGAATTTGAATGATGGCGTTAGGTACTATTATCAGGTAACACAAATCTCGATTTCGAAGCTTAAGCATGAGTTTCTGGATTATAAGAATATCAAAAGGTTATAGATTTGGAAGAAATATGTTTTGATTGATCAAGTTATGATTCTATGAATTAGGTTGGGAGTGATTCTAAGGGATGGAGTGAGATCCATAGCTATATTGCTCGAGATGTGACCGCAGAAGAAACCGTAGCTTTCATGTTTGGAGATATGGGTTGTGCTACAGCTTACACGACATTTATCCGCTCACAAGATGAGAGTATATCTACAGTGAAGTGGATCCTCCGTGACATTGAAGCTCTTGGTGACAAGCCAGCTCTTATTTCACACATTGGAGATATAAGTTATGCTCGTGGTTACTCGTGGGTATGGGATGAGTTCTTTGCTCAGGTCGAGCCTATTGCCTCCAAAGTTCCTTACCATGTCTGCATTGGTAACCATGAGTATGATTTCCCTACTCAGCCGTGGAAACCTGATTGGGCAGCTTCTATTTATGGAAACGATGGTGGTGGCGAATGTGGTGTGCCGTATAGTTTGAAGTTCAACATGCCTGGAAATTCTTCAGAATCCACAGGAATGAAAGCTCCTCCGACAAGGAATCTATATTATTCTTATGATACGGGATCGGTCCATTTCATTTATATCTCCACGGAGACGAATTTCCTTAAAGGAGGCAGTCAATATGAATTCATAAAGCGAGATCTAGAGTCTGTAAACAGGAAGAAAACACCGTTTGTTGTTGTGCAAGGACACAGACCGATGTACACTACGAGCAACGAGGTTAGAGACACTATGATTCGACAAAAGATGGTTGAGCATCTAGAACCGCTGTTTGTGAACAACAATGTCACACTTGCTCTATGGGGACATGTTCATAGATACGAAAGGTTTTGTCCCATAAGCAACAACACTTGCGGCAAACAGTGGCAAGGAAACCCGGTTCACCTTGTGATTGGTATGGCTGGTCAAGATTGGCAACCGATTTGGCAGCCGAGACCAAACCATCCAGATCTTCCTATATTCCCTCAGCCTGAACAATCAATGTATCGTACGGGTGAATTTGGATACACTCGTTTAGTTGCAAACAAAGAAAAGCTCACAGTTTCTTTTGTGGGTAACCACGATGGCGAAGTTCATGATACTGTTGAGATGTTAGCATCTGGGGAAGTAATCAGTGGGAACAAAGAGAGTACTAAAATCCCAAATCTTAAAACCGTTCCTGCTTCTGCTACACTTATGGGGAAATCCGAATCTAATGCTTTGTGGTATGTCAAAGGAGCAGGCTTGATGGTTGTGGGTGTGCTTTTAGGGTTCATTATCGGGTTTGTTACCCGGGGAAAGAAATCTTCGTCTGGTAACCGTTGGATTCCAGTCAAGAACGAGGAGACATAATATTGAACTAAGTCTATTATTTAGAGGCACGATTTGTATAGTATCCTCCCACGGTAAGAACCATGTTTCATTACAACTAGAGTTGTGGAAGATAACATAAGTTTTTGTATACAATAATAATAGTGATTCTTGTTACATAGTATGATTCTTGTGTTTATTGTCTGAAGAGTTTGTGTTTGAAAATCAGTACGCTGTTACAGATTGAAGGGATTTTGCTGTAATTACATAATGTAGTGTATGAGTATATACATACAACACTCTAGATATGCGGAGGAGGCTAATCAATCGAGCATTGGAATGTTGATTATGCCAAAGCATATTTGTATCCAAAATGAAACCACTTATAGTATGGATTTGATGTTTTACTGGTCTTGCTTTTTCGGATATAAAAAGGTAAATCTATTAGACCTAAAGTGAAAGTTTGTTTGGTAGTTAAGATTAATTTATTTGGATCGATTCAATTTATTAGGATTAAACACTCTTAGAATATTAGCTTTAGAAAACAATTGAATCAAATGCTTTAATATCGACAATTTTCATAGCAAAGAATGAACAAAGAAAAAAAAATCAACTGTACGAACGTAAAAATAAAATAAAAAGAGAAGATACATATATATAATATACATAGAAGAACAATAGTATTTGTGGAAGGTGTTTGCTTATTTAGAAAGCAAGTGACGTGCGCGTTGATTAGCTCCTTGAACACGAGAGTTAAGCTCATCAACATCGTCTCCGAGATGATCAAGGGCTTTGTTTTGCCTGCAATTTCCCCCCAACAATAGTAAGTATTCATCAAACATAAGCATAACTGTATGAAAATATGTATTTGTGTTATCTGACTTGTCGATCTCAGATCCCATATCAACGGCCATGCTCTTAAGATCACCCAATATGTCACTTAAATCTGAAAGTCCATCGTCTTGCTTTGCCTTCTCTTGCTGCATTTTTAACAAGTTTAATTTAGTTAAGCATTTAAGATGCAAAATTTGTAAAAAGAACACAAACCTCAACTTTCTGCAACGCGTTTGTTGGTTGTCCTAATCCTGATGGTTGACTGCTCGATCGACCTTTCGCACCCAAACCGAGTTTCTCTCGTTCTTCTTTGTGATTCTCGCTCTTCTTCGACGGTTTATCTAAAAGTTCAATAACTTATATCAAACATGACCACCATACATATGATATAATCCAATCAAGAATCAAGATGGGTAGCACATTGATATCATAAAGATTGAGATGATGAGTTATTCACAAGTTAAAGGATCATTTTTTTCCCCTCTAATCTTCAAATTAAAAACAACATTATAAGAAACATGATCATCATACATATAATTTTATCCAACCAAAATTCAAGAATCAAGAGTTCGAAAGCGCTAAAACAATAAAAGATTTGTATGTGTTATTTAACTAGGTATAGACTTCGTTAGAATGACTAAAACCTGGTGTGATCATAGGTCCTGTGATATTTTTAGTCTTCTTTGGTTTCCATGGCTTTGAAAACATTCCTCCTAAGTTGTTCAAAAGCTTCTCCCCCTGATCTCACAAACATTTTAATTTTATCAACACTCCATAATAACAAAACAAATAATTTCACATTTTCGTATCGAAGAAAGGAAAATAAAGAAAACTTTACCCGACTGAGATCTTTATCCATATCAACAGCCATAACATGAGTCCTGTTGATCTGTTCACCTTGCTGATGCAACATTTCGAGCGTTCTTGTAGCATCTGATCTTATATCTTCAGCGATCTTAAGACAATTATTAACACCTTTGGTTGTTTCTTCAGCTTTATAAACCGCGTAGTTTTCTAATTCTTCTGTTGTTTGGCTCTGCAAACCACCGGAATCGCTGAAACCGTTCTTGTATTTGTCGTCATCGTCGAAATCTGGTGTTATCAGGATTGGTTCTGAAGAAGTCCTTCTTCCTGCAGTGATTGTTCCTCCTTTGTTGTTTGACGATTCATTGGGAAGCTTATTGTTCCCCGGAGATTTGAAAAATCCAAACATCTATTTAACAATGAGATGATGATGATTATTGATTAAAATTTCCAAGGACTTTTCATGAAAATGTTAAAAAAATTGAATCATGAAGAAATAGAATTTGATGGGTTACCTCTAATTTCTCTGTAAAAAATCCAGAGAGAAAAAAAGATTCTAATCAAGAAAACTGCAGAGATAAGAAAAAGGAAAATGGTTATCCAAAAATAGAAACTTGTGATAGAGATATGTAATAACCATCACGTCCTATGCTTCTCCCTATTTTGGAACATTTAAGAGTATAATAACCAAACACTATTTCAGAGAGAAGGCTTATTATGTTTTAAGCTCAAGACCTTGAGGAATGTCTACAAGAAAATAGAGGAAATATCTAAGAAGAATGAGAGAGAATCAAGTTTTTTTTCCAAGTATAGGAAGTGAGTCAGTGTGATATGTACTACTAAATGATATGAACAAAAGTTAGTTTATTAAACAGTTGAAGATTTTTTCTTCTTCTTACAACAAAATCTAAATCTGATTTAAAAGGTAATAAATAATCTAAAGCTATCAAAAACACAAAGTTTCCACGGCCATAAACTATACACGGACAGGACTCCCTCAAAACTTCCAACTTGAGATTTTCTTAAATAATGCATTTACACAAGATTCAGAACTTGGAGTAGAGTAACAATGGAGATGGGAGACAATTATTCTTCATTTACTTCCCTCTGGAGAAATCATCCCATGGGTCTTGACCAAAGATCTCGTCGATGATGTTTGAAGTTGGAAGAAGATCAATGTTCTTAGTCCAACAATGATCTGGCAGTACTGAATCACAAGGATCAAATGAATACGACTGATCCACAAGATCATTGCAGTGGCGCCAGTAATTCCCAATGTTGGATTCTTCTCTGTTTCTAACTGGACATCGAGAGTAGACTGCGTTGGACTGATACTCAAAGGACATGTACGAATCTTCATTAGCATTACCCTCTTCTTCTTCGTCTCTTGAGAGGCTTTTTTCGGCTTTTTCATCAGATGGAGTTTCAGCACCATAAAAGGTGTTGTCATACTCTACTTGCCACTCGTCATCATCACTATCAACATCCAGGCTTTTAGAACGATTCTGGATAGCTCGTCTTCGCAGGATAAAGACATTGAAATAATAGCTCACAATTTCCTTCATAGTTCGTGAAGGAAACGCAGACTTTAGGTGTTTCCAGAAATCCCTGTCCATTGAAACCGGATTGGAGTACACAATCTCGTGAAATAGATCTTCCTCGTCTTCAGTTAGCTTACCCGCAACTTCCTCACCCATTTCATAAAGACCTAAATTCAGACATCTGTCGTACCCAATAGTTTCAAACAAGTCTTCCCTGTTTTCCATTATATGCTGCTGCGCACATCTGATGGAATCTTTATCCAGGCAAATGCATTCCTTTCTTCCTTTACCAATTTTGCAGACCTCGGTTTCACAGTCAGGCATTGGAATTACGCACTTCCCCGTCACTTGTTCTTCATCGTAATCAACAGCTGCCTGACCTGACTGATCACTTGCCTCTTCCTTGACACATTCAGGGATATCAGCCTGGTAATCCGGCCCTATTGGAACTGTTTTTCTAGGAGAAACCGGACACCAATAAACATCTTCTTCCGGGCAAACCGGTCTCCAAGGTATATCCGACTCAGGCGATTCATGAGAAAGGGTAGACTGAGTCGTAGCTCCAGACTGAGAATCCTCCTCACACAAACCAGTTGTGATCCACGAGAAAGACGCGTTGGTCTCAAACCCCTTCTCAAGGTTATCCTCACATTTATACCCATAGAGATCACTTATATCATCTCCTGCTAATAATAAGACAGATAAATAATTAAGCGAGCTGCTTACGTTTATCATGTTAACCCCTCTGCAAGAAACAGATATTATTATTACCTACGAAACTTGACTTCTCCAGTGAAACACGATATGGAACTCCTTCATCTAGTTTGGCCAGCTTATTACAATAACTAATCTGTCTTGCATGCTTAACGTTGAGCTCTTGCACATCCTCAGCATCAAAAGTACGCTTGAAACCCATATTTCTAGTAGCCTGAAAAATGAGAAACAAAGCCATTTAGTTACTTGGCGTGAAGGTTATCTATGTGAACCACAGACTCACACTGACAAGTGACAAGTGACAACTATAAGTCTATTTAATAATTTAATTAGAGTAAAAAGAAAAAATATTTAACCCCAATTTAATTTGAGTAAATAAAAAAATCCCCAAATTTGAAAACCCTAACCCTAGACTTCAATTCACGGATTAAATCACCAAATCAAGAATCGAAAATCAATGAATCGGTTAATTATCATGAAAACAGACAAAAGCCCTCGATTAATTGACAGATCTGACGAACCCTAGAACATCCCAATCTACGAGCCCAGATCGGATAAAAAAATTGGGGGAAACTGAAATTAAGAACGGATCCGTTCAAATTATTGAAGGAAATCAACATCAAAAACAAACAATTGATCAGATCTGTTGTTTAAAGATCCAGATCTGACTCAAACCCTAGATTTGACCAAAACGAAGGGATAATAACAAAACATATATCAATTGAAAGAAGAAATCAAGAGGAAAAAGAAAATTACAATAGATCTGAAGATCGATCTGGAAGAAGGAAGGGATCTGAGCTCAAATTCGAAGAAAATTTGGTAGGGGAAAAAAATAAAATTGGGGGAATTTTGGAAAGCGGCTAGGGTTGAAAATTCGTGCTTTTCGATTAGGGGAAAGACCCGATTTTGAAACCCGGATTAAATTCGGATACCGAGACAACATCGAATGAGCTGTACTTTATTTAAATTCTTTGAATTACTTGAATTTACCAAATTATCCTCGCCGTATACCATCAACGTCAACGTGCCTAGCAACTTGTTTTGGCATATCCGGCTCGTACCTATATTCTAAACCGGACACAAGTTGATGTTCAAATGAACAAACCGGACCAAGCGAATTAAACCGGTTCCAATCTATAAGCCCTAAATTCCCAAATCAGATTCTCACTTTTGCTTTCTTCAACCTGTCGACAACACTCCCGATTTTGCTCTGGTAATATTTTTTTATTAGCTTGATTTTTCTTCGGAATTGTTAATTGTGGAAGTATGTTATAATAAAGTTTGATGCTTTAACTTGTTCTGGGTATTGAATCCGTTATGATATCGTTTTAACTCCATGAATTTCTGGAATTTTAGTTTTATATGTGAATCTGGGTCGTTGCATATTCTTTTGCACCTTAAAGCTTGAATTTAAAGTCTTATATTGATTCCATTTTTGTAGACAGTGTGTTTAAAAACCAATGGCGCTAGTTGTGATTTGTGGGCAACCTTGTAGTGGTAAGTCAATAGCTGCAGTAACTTTAGCTGAAGCATTGAAAGAGTCTGAAACGAAACAGAATGTTAGGATCATCGATGAGGCTTCGTTTCATCTAGACCGCAATCAAAACTATGTTAACATGCCTGCTGAGAAGAATCTGAGAGGAAAGCTTAGGTCAGATGTTGATAGATCAGTTTCGAGAGGCGATATTGTTATTGTAGATTCCTTGAACAGTATCAAAGGTTACAGATATGAGCTTTGGTGTATCGCGCGTGCTGCCGGGATTAGGTATTGTGTTGTTTATTGTGATGTGGATGAAGCTCATTGCAGGCAATGGAATAAAGAACGCAGTGATAGAGGTGAGGATGGATATGACGATGGTATATTCGAAGATCTGGTTAGAAGATTTGAGAAACCTGAGAGAAGGAACCGATGGGATTCACCTCTCTTCGAGCTATACCCTTCTCGAGAAGTAATAGATAAATCCTCTTCTGTGATTTTAGAGGCTGTGACTTATCTAACCAAGACTGTTGATTCCAAAACCCAAGATGTGAGAATTCTCCAACCAAGTATTGCGACTCAGGCTGCTAGATTTTCAGAAGCGAATTCTCTTTACGAGTTGGACAGAGCGACACAAGAAATCATCAACGCGATTGTGGAACAACAATCACTTGGTGGGGCTATAAGCAGAGTTACTCTGGGAAATGAACTACCTCCAATCGAAATCAGCAGACCGATTGGACTACCGGAGCTAAGGAGGCTTCGAAGAACGTTTGTTAAATTGATGGGTCAATCGAGTCTGAGCGGGCCACCATTACCAACTGATGCAGAAAGTGCAAAGAGACGTTTTGTGGATTACTTGAACAGAGAGTTTGGAGGTAATAACGCTTGAAATTTGTGGGTAAAAAACATCTTACAATTTGGTTTTGTATTTTCTTAACTCAAGTCAAGTTTCATCCTTGTTTGTTGTTCTTCAATGAAATTTTGGGGCTAAATTGATGTGTTATTCTAATGCAAACATATAATGAATGATACTTATTTATCAAGTTAAAGAAAGTTATTTTTGTAAAAATGTTTGCTTTGTGAGAAAGTGAAGTTCTAGAGATCTATCTTTTCAATTCGTTGAGCTCTTTCTTTCTTGTCTTTATAACATTGAAAATTCAAAGGACAACGACACGTTTGACATTTTTGGATGTATCTAAACTATAAAATAAATTTAATATTTTTGTCGGCAGAATAAAAAAATTATTCATTTACACCAAACAATTAATATATGCTTTGATTTGGAAATAACCACCACAGTAAAAAGACCTACTAATCAGATCCTTAACTATTTTACACAGTTGTGGAAGCCCTTTGGCACATTGGTTGACCAAGGGTTGATTAATGCTTCTACACCAAAAAAGTCTGGGGTCCGAGTCCCAGGTATTGCGATTTATTAACAAATTTGCAGATTGATGGAGGCAAGTGTGCAAGAGATCTCCAACGATGTACAATTATAGCCGTTCGCTAGGATTCTACGCAGAGAAGAAAGTGTCGACAGGTCGTGGATCATTGAAGGTATTCATCAAGATTACGAAGAAGGAAGTGTAGTCTGTCGTGAATCTAATAAGGGTCGGAAGGAATTGTCAGTTGTAGAATCGTCTATGTAACAGTTCTCATAATTTGCAATTAATAATAAATCTAGACGACAAAAAAAAAAAAAAAAAACTATTTTACACAGTTTCACTAATTAATTAAGCAAAAATAATCGCTAAATGCTTTCCTTTTGTCGACATTCGTTGGTAAAAGCCCTTTAATAATTAATGCAGCTTATTTTATTCATACAATAATATAAAATTATAAAACGACGAAGTAGACAGACACAGAGCAGAAAAAGCTTACACTCATATCACTGAGCTTGGCTTCGCCAATCGCCATTGTTGTTCGAAATCTAATTTCTGCTTGTCAAAACCCTTTGTTGATTTTTGTTTTCGTTGTCGATCATTGCGTCAAGCTCCTTCCTTTCGATCTGAATCATCTGATCTCTGACCCTCTTCGAGATCTCACTAATAAGAATTTGAGATTGAGTTTGTCAACAGAATCACGAGCCTCGCTCTTGGCTCCTTTCTCTTACGATATCTATAAATGTACGTAGACAAAAGTAATTTCCTTTTTGCGTTTCATTGCTCAAAATACTAAAAAGTGTTAAAAAGTTTCTCTCTTTTAGGAAATTTTGATTTTTGATCTGACAAATTTGATTGCAGGTTTTGTTGATTCCGTAATTGGCAATTACGAATGACTGACTGATCTCTTTCCTGATTTGGATTATTCTTGGAGTTTTGGGTACCTATAAATGTGAATCTCTTTATGGCTTGATTAGGTAAATGTTAGTTGGAGTTTTAGGAGGAGGAATTGGATGTATAGTGTAGATTTGCTTACAAGAAAGCTATTGTTTTGATCCTTGGGACCATGAAGGTTGCCTCATTTTTTGGTCTTAGACCACGGATCAGCGGGTTACTTTTCTTGATCATCGGTGTTATTGCTCTCATTACAATTTTAGTACCAAATTCAGATGATTCTTCTACAACTTTAACTACGCGAGTGCCCCCACACAACATTTATAGTAACTATGGGAGAATAAAGGAACAAGCAGCTATTGATTATCTAGATCTAAGGTTTTTCTCCTTAGGGGTTAATCGGTTAAAAGAGTTTCCTTTATGTGGTAAAGAAAGAGACAACTATGTTCCTTGCTATAACATTACAGAGACTGATCGGAATTGTGAGTTTGTAAGAGAAGGGGAAAGATGTGTAGTTCGTCCTCCAAGGGATTATAAAATACCACTTCGATGGCCTGTTGGTAGAGATATTATATGGACTGGGAATGTGAAGATTACTAAAGATCAGTTTCTTTCATCAGGAACTATGACTAAAAGGTATTGTGATCACCAAGCTTTAATTAGAAATTTTTTGTTCTGCAGTTTCAGCTAGTATTGTACCATCTTAATCTATTTTAATACTTATCATTAGGCTAATGTTGCTTGAAGAGAATCAAATTACATTTCACTCGGAAGATGGCTTGATCTTTGACGGGGTCAAAGATTATGCTTTTCAAATTGCTGAGATGATTGGATTAGGAAGCGATACTGAGTTTCCTCAAGCTGGTGTAAGTCGTTTTTTATTCTTTCTCTAATGACTCTTATCATTGATCGTTAGTTTTGTTTTCACTGAAACATCGGTTGCGGATTTGCAGATACGGACTGTGTTAGACATCGGTTGCGGATTTGGTAGCTTTGGTGCACATCTAGTGTCTTTGAACGTGATGCCTATATGTATAGCAGAGTATGAGGCAAGTGGAAGCCAAGTCCAGTTAGCTCTAGAGAGAGGCCTTCCTGCAATCATTGGAAATTTCTTTTCGAAACAGCTTCCATATCCAGCTTTATCATTTGACATGGTCCACTGTGCTCAATGTGGGATTACTTGGGATATAAAAGGTATTTATCTGGTATGGTTCATAGTCTTTCACTTATTTTGGTTAAGATCTGTGACTTTTGATATGGAACTTCTATTGAATAACAGTGTTATGCTTTCAATATCTAACCTTAAGCAGATGCAATGCTACTCTTGGAAGTGGATCGTGTTCTCAAGCCCGGGGGTTATTTTGTTTTGACCTCTCCTACAAGCAAAGCACAGGGAAATTCTCCTGAAACTAAGAAAACAAGTATCTCAACACGAGTGGATGAGTTATCTAAGAAAATCTGCTGGAGTCTCTCAGGTCAGCAAGATGAGACGTTTCTTTGGCAGAAAGCAGCAGATCCAAATTGCTACTCATCTCGGTGAGTATGAGAACAGAGTCCTGAAGCTTGGTTTTTAACTCACAGTCGCACTGATGCCGTTCTTTCTTTTTCCTTCTTGTTGTAGCTCGCAAGCTTCTATACCTCTTTGCAAAGATGATGATAGTGTTCCGTATTACCAACCCCTTGTTCCATGTATAAGTGGAACCAAGACCAAACGCTGGATTCCTATTCAGAATAGGTCTAAAGCTTCCGGAACAAGTTTGTCTGAGCTTGAAATTCATGGTAACTATTGATTTTGGCGTGTCATTTTCTGTTCTCATTGCTCATACTTTTCTGGACATTAATGTTCTTCTCCAATAAATATCTTTCAACAGGTATTAAACCTGAAGAATTCGATGAGGATATACAAGTATGGAGATCAGCCCTGAAAAACTATTGGTCCTTGCTTACACCTTTGATTTTCTCAGACCACCCAAAAAGACCTGGTGATGAAGATCCTGTCCCACCTTTTTACATGATACGCAATGCCATGGACATGAATGCTCGTTACGGGAATCTGAATCTCGCCTTCCTCAACCAAGGAAAATCAGTTTGGGTGATGAATGTTGTCCCAGTTAAAACACGTAATACTCTTCCTATAATACTTGATCGAGGTTTTGCTGGCGTTCTACATGACTGGTGAGTGTGTGTTTTCTTAGATTTCCATATTCTATAAAAGACTTCTGGGGATGTCATTAATCACATTTATCTCCCTTAGGTCTCTCTAGAAGATTTGAGCATGTTTTTCACTGCTTATATCTCCTTTTCGCTTATAACATTTGTTTCTTGGCCATTTATTGCTGCGCAGGTGTGAACCATTCCCTACTTATCCGCGAACATATGACATGCTTCATGCCAATGAACTTCTCACACATCTTAGCTCAGAACGGTGCAGCCTAATGGACTTGTTCTTGGAGATGGACCGGATTCTCCGCCCTGAGGTTCTTCTTTTATACACTTCCACCATTTCTCATATGATCCTAATTAGGAAAATCATAAGCTGAGAGAAACTTCGCCTTTCCTGATTGATTTGATAGGGATGGGTTGTGCTAAGTGATAAGCTTGGAGTGATAGAGATGGCGCGTACATTTGCTGCTCGTGTACGCTGGGAAGCAAGAGTCATCGATATTGAAGACGGTAGTGACCAACGGCTCCTTGTTTGCCAAAAACCTTTCCTAAAAAAATAACTCAAAAGAAAAAAAAAAGAAGCAAAATTAGCAAACTGTCAACAAGTTTGCTTCTCTGCACCATCAACAACACTAAGTACAGTTTTTTTTTATATAGGTAATCTCTCTCTTTCTGCATTTCAACAATTCTCTGAGCTTTGAAAACTTGAAGAACACACAAATGTCTAATCAAAGTTACACTTTGCTTTACAGATCCAAATGATGCTTGCAGATTCTGGAAAGAAATCAAAAGGATGAAAATGTAGACTGGGACTTACTTACCAGTGCAAGAGTTTATCAGATTACGACATTCTTTACATTTTTTTTTCTTATTCTTCTGTTTGCAAACAGAATTGTTTTTTTTTGTTTTTTTGTGGTCTTGCAAACAGAATTGTTTTCAGTTTTTTTTTTTTGTTCGTTTCGTAATTATTTCTCTCTCGTATATTCCTCTAAACCAATTGTTCTATAGAGAAAAGAAATGACAGAACATAAAAAGTTGTAAAAGATATTTCTTCTGGTTATAGAATAATAATATTATTGATAAAAGTAAAGATTTGTTTGGAGATGCGGGGGATCGAACCCCGTGCCTCTCGCATGCAAAGCGAGCGCTCTACCATTTGAGCTACATCCCCAATTATTGTAATTAGGTAATACATAAATATAAAATAAGCCAAATTTACTTTATATGAAAAATGCAACCAACTGTACATGTCCTCAACTATCAGATTCTATAGAAATACCCCACTGCCTTCATCACGCAAGGTAGAATAAGTAAAAAGATAAACAAACATAAAATAAAAAATATACTTGATTACTAAACTTGTAAGTTATGAATGATCTATTCTCATTTTTGCAGTTATTGAGACTAATCTATTCAGTTTTCATATAAATTAGGTGTGAATATATATTATAAATTTGAATAGGTAACGTTTTTAATATTTCATAGTATTTTAAAACCAATGTTTTGTTGTAAAATTATGAAAAATATTTATAAAGCAAGTAAATAATGTGCTAACGCTAAGACCTTGATTTATAGATCTAGGCGCTAAGCTCCTATCGAATGCCTAACTACCGCCTGACGACTTTTTGAACATCGACTGCACGCTTTGTATCCGGAGAGCATACAACTTCATACCCAAGCTTTTCTTCTTCCCTAACGACAAGTAGATTTTAAGCTTTTAGTTGACTCCAACATAACTTGCAAGCTCAAAAAGAGAACCAAGAACACAACTCTCAACATAAGCAAAATCCTAACAATAGACAACTTGTATTCTAACACCAGACTCATATATCTAAGGAAAACATTTCTCGGACAAAACAAATCAAAATGAGAATTTCTTAGGTTGTATTTTAAAACTAGTTAGGACTTATTTTTTTTCGGCACTAACCTTAGGTGCTGAGAAACCTTCTCACCTATCATTGTGTGGAAGAGATGTAAGTAAGCTCAACCACTTAGCGAGTTGGTCTTTCTCGCAAGGCAGTTGGAAGTAAACCTGCAGCACACCTCTGAGATTCCCTTGACTTCATTTACTAATAAATCCCCAACATATTCCCTTGATGCATATCTACAATATAGGTTAATCATCATTTGAAAAGATTAAAGCGACAAATTGAGAATCATAACGTCCGAAAAATGAATCATTTACCTTGGAGCGCAAAACATGAATGAATTGTAAGAGGTCATTACTAGTGATTGTCTTAAGCGGCTGAAGCTTCTCACTTGTGACGTGGCAGATTCTTTGTCTATGTTTGATCATTGTTTGCTTAATCTGAATATTTAAATTAAAATTATAAAGATACTCATGTTTTGGTTTGGAGTCTTTTTATATGTACAAATGTCATTTTATTTACTTACTATATATGGAATGATTTTTTGTCGGTTATATCAAAATTAAACAACACTGTTGTTATGACTTAGACAAGTTGGACCTACCATGTTAGACTCTGAGAGACATTACTTAACAGTTAACACAACATTTTGAAGTACATTTTTCTCAAAGTTAGAAAATTGTTTTCACAAGAACAAGAATTTTATTTGTGAAGATAAAGTAACTAATGGTCTTGTAAATACATATGAACCTGTGTTTTATGCGAATACTTAATTTAGTATACAAAATATTATTATGTTTAGAAACAAAATATTTAAGAAACTGTTATTTAAACTATAGTCAGTGTACTGATAAATTTAAAATTTTGTATACTGGCGTGTAAATATTTGATTTTTGGATAAGTCTTAAAACTAATTATACATATTAAACGGATTATGAAAATTTCGAATTTAAATATATTTTTTTGTAGTATATTGGATGGATAAAAAAAGGTGTCATTTTAACAAATGACAGGCCCAAAAGAAAAATAGAAAGTAGTCCTAGTAAAATAGCATGGCCCGGATACAACAGGCCCAAATTAAATATATATATATATATATATATATAGAGCTAGGGTTTCCGGCGTCCCCAAATTGATAAAGAAGCACGCACACCCTAATCCCCAAGTCCACAAGACGAGAGAATCATGGGGAAGGGGCGGACGAGGGGTTGTCGTCAATTTTGGGAAAATGGAGTGTTTAGATATTGTTTTAAACATCGTTTTGATTCTGTTAGCTGTGCCCGCTATAATGCTTCGACTTGTCAAAGATTCTCTAGGCGCGTACGTATTATAAGTTGGAGGGATCGGATCACTCTGCTGATAAATTTGATATTCAGGTTTTATATATAATCTAGCGACAGTAATTTCTCTTTTTCTAGCTAAGGCTTTTATTGAATTCGTTTTTGATTTGATTATTCTTGAATATTACTTACAAATAGGAGGAAAAGTTGTCCAAGCCTGATGATGTTACTACCTCCACACCACTTGGGTAGGTGTCCACTTATCTTCTTGATGATCTATCTCTCTAATGTCGTGTATCAATTATGTATTACCAGTAGCTTTATGGATGGTGATGGTTGTTGTTGCTCATATATATATATATATATATATATATATATATATACATGTTGAATGAATGTTTTTCACCTCACTCAGCTCCGATCAAGTTCAAAGTTGCTATTCCTCCACTACAAGCGCAAATCTTTAGAGAAGAAGAAGCGCAAAGCCAAATCCACCACCTTTCTCTTTTAACCCCCGGAAAATGTTTTCCAATGCTTTAATTAATTTGTTAACTTAAAATTTGCGATGCTTTATTATTAGGATTATGACTTAATAAAGACCTGGTTATGTTATTTTGGGAAATCTTTGTCCCCCATGTCTCCTTGTGTTATAGCTGGTCAAAGATGTTTCATTTCACAAACTGGTCTTTTCTAGTTGATACCAATGCTGCTTTCTTTTCTAATTGATATCATTTTTTTTTAACAGCTCATAACAAAGTTCCTCATATATACGTAGCGATTTTATTTCTTAATTTGCCACGACTCATCTAGCCAAATATATTTTGCCAAGATTCACTTTTCGTATACTGTATTTTTCTTCGAATACTCCCAAAAAAGATGGATCAAGTTTCACTTGGAATAATCACTCATGTTAATAGATATATACGCTTTAGAGCAAGAAGCATATATATACGTACGTACACAAGAAACCCTAAAATAAAGATGCCAAAGAAAACTGCACAAAACATTGAGTATAGTGACATCCACGAAACCTAATTTGATCTCGCACATGCACGGAGATAATGCCAATACGTGAATCCAAAGACACAACAGGGAAAAGTCTAGAGTGCATAAATTCCAAGTCCAAGTAACGTGTTTGACTATATATATCAGCTAAGGAAAAAACACGAGAGAAAGATTCCGAGTCCGTACTACCGTTGATCGGAAACCCAACTGTACTGAAAACCTTTAATTAAAAAAATAGTTAAAAAAATGGAGATGCGGGGGATCGAACCCCGTGCCTCTCGCATGCAAAGCGAGCGCTCTACCATTTGAGCTACATCCCCAATTGTTGTATTTGAACTGTATTAGCAACTTATAAAGCACGCTGAACCACTCCAAACACAATTTGCATTTGGGAAAGAATATACAAAAATAATATACACTGACTCTAACTCTCTACTCACTAGTTCCGCTTACATGGCTTTAAGTCTCTAAGCCAGCTCACATATATATGAATATGATGATGATAACGGTGTAATGGTTATGGTGTACATAAAATTAATTAAAGAAAGCTTTACTTGGGTTTGGGTACTTACTAGTCAAAACCATTCTTAAAATAAGTTCGAATCATTAACAAACAAAAATTGTGTTCAAACCCAAAACTATTACCGTTTCAGTCGTGTACACACAATAGAAGTACCCCTTTCTAAAATAACAGTATTATATAATGAAATTAGAAACGTTTCATCAAAATAGAATCATATCCAATTTATAATATGTGACTCACCAAGATGTAAATTTCAAAACTGTTTTATTTTGCTCATCAAGATATGACTCATATCCACGAAGTGATCACAGCAAAATAGAAATCTATAAATAAAAATGATTGAATCGTTGCGCTTTTTTTGAAGTAAAAAAAAAATCTAAATCCAAGAATTTTAAAATTAACAATAGTAGTATACTAGTATGATATTGACTATTGAGGAAGAAAAAAATTATCAAACTGAAATCAGTTAAATACTTAAAATGACAAAAGTTGCATAATGCAACAACAACCAGAGAGGGTCCCGCATATCTCCCACACGTAAATGTAGTTCGTCAATATATGTCAGTTTTCAACTCTTTTCTATTTGTACGTTATATAAATCGACCTTAATATAAAATTCTTAAACAAAAACTTATTTAATTTTAAGTTTAGTCACTACAAAAGAGATCGTAGTTGGAACATTGGAACCAAAACACTAACTTACAAGTGTTTCTTTTTCAATATTTTATTAAATCATCTTTCATTTTCCAATACTCTTAACTTCTCTCTCTAAAGCCATCATCTTAATTTTGGTTAGTACCTGGTTCTTGGTTTTGAAAGTCAAAGTCTCTTTTGTGCTTCTCCTAAAGAGCGATCTTGAGATTAATCATCATGAAAGTGCTTCTGGGTCTTTTGCTTCTCTTGGCCTTGACCAAATCTTCAAGTAAAGCTTTTTTCTTCCCCTTTCTTGATTAATTCTTATTTTCCTATTCCCCAAAATCAAGCTTTATGTAAAGGAATGATCTTTTCAATCTAAGCACTATCAACCGACCACAGTGCCCTGGTTTTATGGTTATTAACATATTCAAATTTAAAGATCTCAATCTGAAAAGGCTATATCTTTCTTTCTCTTTAGGTGCAATTTACTGTCTCTGCAAAGATGGGATAGGAGACACAGAGCTTCAAACATCAATAGACTATGCATGTGGAACTTTAGCAGATTGTAATCCTATACATGATAACGGTTCTTGTTTTCAACCAAACACCATCAAAAGCCACTGTGATTGGGCTGTTAACAGCTACTTCCAAAACGCAGCTCAAGTCCCTGGAAGCTGCAATTTCTCCGGCACTGCCATTACCAATCCAAACCCACCTTCCAGTTAAGTCAATAACTCTTAAAAGTCTAAAACCTTTTGATGGAAAAAACTTGTGATCTTGATGATGTTTCCTTTTTTGGGTGCAGATTTGGCTAATGGTTGCATCTATCCTTCAAGCGCTAGGTATGTTTGATCACTTCCATTAACCTAAAACTGCCTCATTCACATTATTTTACTTTGTTCTTTATCTTGTAACAGCTCTACAAGGTCGCCTCCATCAACAACACCACCAACGGGAAGTGGAACACCTCCCACAAACGGAACCACTCCATTTCCGGGAACTCCATTTCCAGGAACTCCGTTTCCAGGAACTCCTCCGGTGTTTGGTCCAACCGGAGTCTTTAACCCAAGCAACCCAGGCAGTGGTGCCTCAAGTTTGGTTATCTCCTCTGTTTACACACTCTGTTTTTCATTACTAGTGTTTCTTTGTGGTTCTGATGTAAGGTTTGGATTTAGCCACGTGTAGAGACAGAAAGACATCCACTTGTGTTAGTCTTTGATTCTGTTTTGGATGGAACAAGAAGTTTAGGCGTTTGTTGAGCTTTCGTCTATGTAAAGGTTGCTCTAATAGAATCTTGAGTAAAGAAAGAAAAAAACAGAACATTTAATCTTTAGTGATGAGAATGGAAACAAACAACCAGAGTTTATGATGAAGACTTCTTAACAACAAACATCCTTCTTACCAACTCATTGTTTGTGTAAAAAATACTTAAAATTTTTTTTAATTATTACAACAATAATTTCTTTTGATCAATTATAGATTAAAAATAGAGAAGTTTGGTGTGGGGATTTTGTTTTATTTATTCAAAAAGACCAACCAACAATTAAAGAAGTGAAGTATCAACAATTTAAGAATTTAGATTTTTGGTAAGAAACATACACACCTTCAATAATTCCCACCCCACAAGGCTCTAAGACAGAATCTGTTGAGTAGATTGTAACAGAAGATGAAGAGTATAAAAATAATCAAAAGGAAACACTGAACAAGATTGTTTGGTTTTTCTTCTTGATTTCATTGATACATTGCAAGCTGTTTGATGTTAAAAGCAAGCTCAATAATAATCTTCTGCCTTCATTATTTACCTAAGCATTGTATATGTTTTTGTCTGGATGTTAAAAGTAGTCTTAATGATCATTATCTGCCTTCATTCTGAGCCATTTGATTGATTAGGTAGACAAAAACATTTTCATTAAAATCATATCATTTTCATAACCCCATATCAATGATTGACATACCAAATCCAGTGGGGCTTTAAGTTTGGTCAAATGGAGATGTTTGGTGTGGGGGATTTGTTTTATTTATTCAAAAAAAGACCAACCAACTAACAATGAAAGAAGTGAAGTATCAACTATACAATTAGAGAAGTAAGATTTTGGTCCTTCAATAATGAATGGCCCCCTAGGGTCTAAGATATACTTTCAACCTCGTTACACCTGCTGCAAGTCTCTCTAACAAACTCTGCTATAAGTTTAGCAACAGCAGCCGGTTTTTCGACGTGGGGAAGATGTCCACAGTTTGATATTTGTTCAACACGTGCATTCGATAACTCTCCATGCAGTCTCTGCATTGAAGAAGATATGATTTAGGACAAGAGAGACCATTTGAAACATGACAATAGTCTAAATAGAGATAGAAAAATCTAACCCAAGCGAGCTTGTTGCTAATGATTTGGTCATCCTCTCCCCATAGTATCAATGTCTTCTGTGAAACCTGCAGACAGAATCTTTTCAGTAGCCTATAACAGAAGATGAAGAGTAAAAAACCAAAAAAAAGTAGAAGCAAACATAGAACATCAATGCATGCATAGTTTCTCTTCTTGATTTCATCTTTTCCAATATTTTAATGAACAAGAATTGTGAAGAGTTTTACGTATTCAGAGGATCATCCTCCAGTACAATCAAATAACCAAGAAAGAACTTACCCCAGCATAAGCTGCTGCTTTGGGTAAAGTTGCTAAGTTTCCAGTACCAAGGACTCAACCTGAATATTCATAAATTTCTTCTCCTTAAGAATTCTATAAGTACCGCTTCTGGATGGTTGACAGCAGCACCGAGGCTCGGCCCAACCAAAACCACAGGCCTTCTAATATGAGACTTCCAAAACTATGGATCATACAAGAACAAGAGAGCCAAATCAATCCCCTTCAACTAAACAAAGCACACAAGTAAAGAAAATGTCTACAAACCTCTCGATTCTGTCGGCGAGCTTTAGAGCAAACAGCGCTAGGTTTATCCGCCGTCACTATAATCTGGCGGAGAAACCGCCGTCGCCGTCATTGTCACCGTTAGCGGTTGCCGGTTGGTTCTTGATAAAGCAGATATGACACGTGGCAACTGAGACCATTGATCAAAATTCCAAAAGGAGCTCAAACGCTGTCGATTGGTTGGAAGTCTATCCGACGTGGCATAATTATAAATCTAATTTGCATTCAGATTTAAGTTTTCTGTATTTTATTTTTAAATCTCTATTAAAATTTAAAATCTAATAACAAAAATAATATTAATTTAATTAATATTTATATATTATTGAATGAATCATGCATAATTTTGTCAAAAGTTTTTAAATCAATAATTTGGTAACAAATCATAAATAGATTTTGGGTGTTATTGTTGAGCTTAACAACGGAAGCATTGTTGGAATAAAGGTTGTTTCTATTTCTTGCTATTCATGTCAAGCTCGAGCTCTTGGATTTTCAAGTTTGGTTTCAACTTTCTGGGCGATTCTCAGTCACGATCGAGCGTTTCCTCTAATCCGTATATATATATATATATATATATATATATATCTTCACTTTTTCGATTTTGTTACTCATTCCTAGAAATAGGGTTTTGTGAATCTTTTGTTCTGTCATTCAATCTTCTGAAATCATACTATATATCTTACCGGTCTTTAATGTTTCAATGGCTTTGATTGTTTATCGCTGACAGTCTTTTTATGTGGATTGGTATTTTTACAAGTTATGTGCAATGGCAGATGCAAAAATATTTTTTGTATGGGGCACAAATTATAAATAATTAATAACAATATTTACATAATAAAAAATATTAAGTAGATATTTATTTTTGATAACGTTAAAGTATATTTTGCACCTTTAATATATATATTTCAGATTTGAAATCTAAAAATAAGCCAAAATTTTTGAAAACATTGCTTCTATTGGTTTATAATATACTTAGGTACATATATTATATAGATATATATTTAATTTATTAATTAGAAAAATACATAGTTACAAACTTACAATTCACTATAAAAATAGATATATAAGAAATTTAAATTTACTTATTTAATTAACAAATATCACCCAAATTTAGACCCTAAAATAATAAATTAACTAAAAAAGAGAATAATATTGTTTAACTTTACTAAATTACTATTTTTACTAAAAATTCAATTAAGATATATGTATATTTTATAAAACAAATGTGAATTGAATTTGTTGAAAGTTACTAGAAATAGAAAAATAAAATAAAACTGAAAGCTTATAGTTTTGTTTAAGAAAATAAAAACAATGTATCCAATAGTAAAGAAGAATAAAAAGGAAGAGGCTGAAGTTGCTAAATAAAGGCATCAATCAAACCAATATAAAATTCACCAAAAAAAATTAACAAGTAGAAGAAAGGGAATCGAACTTGTGACCAAAGATATCCATGTGAGAGTGGAAGCCAGCTGAGCTACAGGATCTAACACAAAATAATTACTAGCTAAAGTATAAAAATGTGTATGGGGCACGTGCAATTGAATGGTTGCAGTACCGTTTGCAGGATTAGCGTTGAGGGATATGACACTTCGGTTCATGCGTATGATCTCAAGCTTGCGTTGAGAAAACATTTCTCTTCATGTGGAGAGGTCAAAAATGTTAATGTTCCCAAAGACTTTGTTAGGGGTATTCTCAAGAGGTTTGCTTGTGGCTCTTCTTCCTCCAATTTTTTTACCCTTCTCAAAGTTTATAGTTAAAAACTAGTTTTTGTGTTGTGTCACAGATGTGCCTACATTTGTATTGTGGGAGAAGGTGCCTTAGAAAAGGCGTTGCAACTTAGTGGAAGTGACGTTAGAGGATGGACTATTTCTGTTAAGGCTTCACCGTTTCATATACCAATGTGCATTGATCCTGGCCGGGCTTTGGTTGCTGTTGCATACTTAAGTCGTCAAGAGTACCGGTAATATTCGATGATAATATTTTTTTTTGTTATGGGGAGATATTTGTATGTGTTCTCTAACAACAATGCAATCAAATTACTTTTAGGATGATGGTTACAGGATATGACACTTCGCTTCCCGAGCTTGATATCCAGATCGGCTTGTGTAAACATTTCTCTACATGTGGAGAGGTCACAGGTGTTTTGATTCCGGGAGACCGAAGAACTGGTGGTCTCAACAGGTTTGTCCTCTCCAATTTCCCAACTCTTTTCTCTCAAGTTATTAGTCTTGCTAACTCAAGACTTGTCTTTGTTGATTTTTTAACAGCAAAGCTCTTGTTACTATTGTGGGAGAAAGCGCAGCAGACAAGGCACGAGAACTTAGTGGATGTGACGTGAAAGGATGGGATATTACAGTTGTTGGTGTTACTCATCTCGGCGCAAAAAGAAATCGCTCATCATCATGTACATATATATTTGCTCTGATTCTTGGTTTCTTGGTAACAAATTATTAAACCTCTCATTAGTTTCGTGTTTCTTTTTAGGTCGTTCTTTACCTATGAAGTCGAAAGCTCTCGATGAAGAAGACAAGGGAGTAGAAAGCTCTCGTTGAAGAAGACTAGGGAGTAGAAAGCTCAACCAAGTTCTTTGGTGTTTTTAACTTGTGATACAATACAAGGCAACCCTTTTTCTTTAATTACCTCAGTTTTTCTTTTGTTTTTTGTCTGGCATGTTAATAGTAATCTCAATAATCATTATCTGCCTTCATTCTGAGCCGTATACTATTCGATTGATTAGGTATACAAAAGCATTTTCATTAAATCATATCATCTTCATAACCCCATATTGATGATTGTCATACCAAATCCAGTGGGGCTTCAAGTTTGGTCATCTCCTCTGTTTTCACACTCTGTTTTTGTTTTTAATTTACACACAACAATAATTTCTTTAGATCAATCAAAGAAGGAAAAGATGGAGATGTTTGGTGTGGGGGATTTGTTTTATTTATTCAAAAAAAGACCAACCAACCAACCAACAGTGAAAGAAGTGAAGTATCAACTATACAATTAGAGAAGTAAGATTTTGGTCCTTCAATAATGAATGCCCCCCTAGGGTCTAAGGTATACTTTCAACCTCTTTACACCTGCAAGTCTCTCTGACAAACTCTGCGATAAGTTTAGCAACAGCAGCCGGTTTTTCGACGTGGGGAAGATGTCCACAGTTTGATATTTGTTCCACACGTGCATTCGATAACTCTCCATGCAGTCTCTGCATTGAAGAAGATATGATTTAGGACAAGAGAGACCATTTGAAACATGACAAGTCAATAGTCTAAATAGAGATAGAAAAATCTTACCCAAGCGAGCTTGTTGCTAATGATTTGGTCATCCTCTCCCCATAGTATCAATGTCTTCTGTGAAACCTGCAGACAGAATCTTTTCAGTAGCCTCTAACAGAAGATGAAGAGTAAAAAAAAAAAAAAGAAGTAGCAAACATAGAACATCAATGCATGCATAGTTTCTCTTCTTGATTTCATCTTTTCCAAATTTTAAATGAACAAGAAGTGATTTAAAAGGAAGTACCTTTTTTATAAGAGAAGTTACGTTGTATCCTCCGCTCGTCATAAAACTAACAGTAGCGTCTTCCCACCAAGGATATAGACAATGCAAGCGACCAATCTAGATTGAGAACAAAATCAGACTGTTGAGAGCTAGTTTCTTGTTTACCAATAAGAACTTCTTAGTAACGCTTGTTTACCTTTGTCCAGTCCCAACTAGTTTCCAATGAGATATCATTGAAACAAATGAAGTTGACGTATAACCGTAATGGAATACTCTTCAGAAGATATACCTAAAATCCCAAATTCATATACCCAAAAAACCATAATGTTAACAGAATTATGAAGAGTTTTACTCAGAGGATCATCTTCCAGCACAATCAAGTAACCAAGAAAGAACTTACCCCAGCATAAGCTGCTGCTTTGGGTAAAGTTGCTAAGTTTCCAGTACCTTCTGAGTAAACGCTTGCGTCCATTAAAACCAAGGACTCAACCTGAAAAAAAATATTCATAAATTTCTTCTCATAGTCAATATCTTCTGAACATGTTTATTAATAAACTTCTTTATGAGGAATAATGAAAGCTCCTTAAGAATTCTATAAGTACCGCTTCTGGATGGTTGATAGCAATGTCAATTGCGACAGCAGCACCGAGGCTCGGCCCAACCAAAACCACAGGCCTTTCAATATGAGACTTCCAAAACTATGGATCATACAAGAGAGCAAATCAATTCCTTTCAACTAAACAAAGCAGACAAGTAAAGAAAATGTCTACAAACCTTGTAAAAATGCTCTCTTTTCGACGCCACATCACACGGTGAAAGTTTTTCTAAAGAAAAGCACGAAAAGATAAGTGTGTAAGAGTGCAAAAACATTGACAAGTTTGGAGAATAAGAGAAAAGAAAAAGGGAAAGGAAGTAGTAAAAGATAAGAGAGGGACAAAACCTAAATCAGAAAAACCCCAACCAAGGATATCAAATGCCCATGTTTCTAAACCGGCTTCTTCTAGCAATGGATAAGTGTATCTCCACTCTAAACAAGAACTGTTTAACAAGAGTTTTAAACTCAAGACACAAACTCAAGAAACCACAACATTTTCATTAGTACCTATCAAATCCGTGAAGAAGCACAACAGGAGTTGTCTCGTTCCGAATTAGCGGTGTAACGCAACTGCTCATAATACTATCTTCCCTGAAGCTCACCTAACATTCCACACATTACAAGACAATGAGAAAAGTCTCTACAGGTTCATTCTTACATTGCTTTAAATGTTTCTACTCACTTGAAACTTTGAATGTAAGATATATAATCCCAAAAACTTGAATTGTGACATGACCCAGTTGCAGCTAAGACAGTGAAATCTAGTTGTATATATATAAGCTCAAATTCTCAATCATCATGAAAGGATCAGACTTTGGATTAAAAAAGATTTAAAATTTCAGAATTACAGGTTACAGAGAGATAAATGTGGAATATCAAGTCACTTACAGACACAGGAAGCCTCTCGATTCTGGCGGCGAGCTTTAGAGCAAACGTGTCTTTGATTCTCTCAACATCGCTCGGCAAAAACGTCGGAAACTTCTCCGCCGTCACTTTAAACGGCCTTTTCATTGTACATTCCACCTTCAGAATCGGCCCAGAAACCGCCGTCACCGTTGAGAGCATCGTTGAAGACGACGTGGCTCTCTGTTACTCTGTTCACTTGCGTTTTGTACTTGGTAGAGAAGATATGACACGTGGCAAGTAAGACCATTGTTCAAAAAGGACTTTAAAACGCTGTCGTTTTGACTAAGAAGAATCACAGCCACATATTTCGTTAATGTGGCTAATTGAGCCTCTAAATCCAACCGTCCAATACACAACTGCAATTTCAGATTTCTGTTGCGAAGCAAGAAAAATAATGGCCAAAAGTGAAAACTTGAGAAGCATCTTAAAAGTGATGAGACTAAGAAACAGAGTATACAATAGGTATGAAATATGTACTTAGCTCATTGCAAGAGCTTCATTTAGTGTTTTCTACATTCCACACTAAGCAAAATAACATTCAAATGAAAACAAGGAACGTGGCTTTCTGCTTGCAGATTTCACATAAGCAATTACCAAATCTCAGTCTACAAGATTCCCGTCGATTTCATAGAACAAACGGTTCGCATTTTCGCTGATTCTTTCAGCTCCACGCATAATCTTCTTGCAATCTTCATGCCAATGCTTCGGCATAAACTCTATCAGCTTCACTTGAGGATCCTTTATATCAACGTTATTGTATATCTCTCTTGCAGGTAAAACATGCTTCTGCCAGAAATCAACAAGTGCTGGTTTCATATCTTCCCAAAACGCGGTATCTCGCCAAACTCTAAAGAGGCTACTTCCATTGCGAGTCCAACAATATAAATCCAACCAATCTGTATCCACAATCTCCATTAAACCCTGAACTTGCGGAACACAAATATAAGGAACCTTCTTCCATGGATACATTTGCGAGGTACCCCCATTATTAAACGGGCATTTCACTTCTAACACACCCCTCGAAGTAACACCGTCTTTAACTAAATTAATCACTCCATCAGGAGAAGCTCCTAACCAGTTTTCTTCAGGATTTTCACCATTCTTATAAACAACAAACTCAGGTATGAGGATTTCATTTCCCGTTAACTCAGTGTATCTCTCGAGTGCTTCAATCTCATTCTCAACGTCCCAAAACGTAGCTCGGTTCCCAGCAAACTGTTTTGCTGCCCCGATTTTCTCTAACCAAAGATTTCGTCTACCATCAGGCGAAAATCCGATAGCACGCGAGAAATTACTAGCTGTTAACCTATTCTTTCTCAAATCTTGCCAATTCTTACGCCAATGCTGAGTTGATTCCGTAACTACTGCAGCTTCTTCTTTCTTTGAAACTATACCAATGATTTCAGAAATTACCTTTGAGTCAGACTCTGGTTCGTTATTTGGAATGTGCAACAAACGATGGCAGTAAGCTAAATCATCACTGCCAAAGAAAAATTGAAACAAGTGTAAGATTATTACACAAATTACTTCTATTCGAAAATCAATTTGGCTGCAGAGATAATTACAAAATTGAATCCGAATTTCGTCTATAGCTATTACGAAACTATGAACTAGACACTATAACTAATCAGACAGAGACAACAACTGACCGTGCACGCTTGTAAAAGATACGACGAAGCATATCGGCGACGGCAAACCGGCGGTGAATAGACGAGTTCGATTCTCAAAATTTTAAGGGTTTAAAGGAAACGATTCTGTAATAAAGGTCTTAACGAATGGGCCGTCTTGGCCCAATTATTTTACGGCCGTACCATTAAAACCATTTTACTTCCGTTTATTCGGTTCCAAATTTTCGGTTAGATTCGGTATAATATAGTAATAGACACATTGCAATGTCCAATGTTATTTCGGTTCGAGTTCTGATTTGGAATCGGTTCGGTTCGATTTCTGTGTCCTCTGTAAAAGTAAAACCCTGAAAAAATCTTCAGTGCTTTCTCTTGGTCGGAAAATCTCTTCTCAATTAGTCTCTGCTAGCTTTTTTTTCCGGCTGCCACAAGATCGGAAAATATTTCATGCGGGTTATCCCGAGTTCATTACTCTCACATGTGAGAGGACTGATTCGAAGAGGACCCTCTTCGAGATGGTACGTGGTTCCTGCACTTTCCCGGACGAACATTACAATCTCACACTCAGAGCAAGTGAAAGAAGGTACCTTTGATTATAAAGCATTGGAGTTAAATGAAATTGGGGTTCTTCGAGTATTGAATAGTATGAAGGATGATCCTTATCTTGCTTTATCGTTTCTCAAACGAATTGAAGGAAATGTGGCTTTGCCTAGTGTCCAAGCTTATGCAACTGTTATCAGAATTGTTTGTGGTTGGGGTTTAGATCAGAAACTGGATACTTTTCTAGTGGAACTCGTTAGAAAAGGAGATGCGGGGCGCGGTTTCAGTGTTATGGAGTTGTTAAAGGCCATTGGAGAAATGGAACAGTCATTGGTGTTGTTGATACGGGTCTCCACTGCATTGGTTAAAGCCTATGCTAATCTTGAAATGTTTGAGGAAGCTATCGATATTTTTTTTCGAACTTATCATTCCCTAGGACGTGCTCCGGATATAAAGGCATTGAATTTTTTGTTAAACCGTATGATTGCTTCTGGGAGAACTGATATGGTGGTTGGTGTTTTCTGGGAAATAGAGAGGCTGGGGTTGGATGCAGATGCGCATACTTATGTGCTTGTGGTTCAAGCATTGTGTAGGAATGATGATAAAGAAGGGGTAGATAAGCTTCTTATTAGACTGTTAAACTCAGAGACGAGGAATCCTTGCGTGTTTTATTTGAATTTCATTGAAGGACTATGTTTAAATCAGATGGCAAGTATGGCGTATCTTCTACTCCAACCATTGAGGGAAGTGAATATTCTGGTGGATATGAGTGATCTTGGAATTGCATATCGCAGAGTGGTCCGCGGTTTATGTAATGAGATGAGAATAGAAGATGCTGAAAAAGCTTTTCTTGACATGGAGGAGCACGGGATTGATCCGGATGTCTATGTTTACTCGGCGATAATTGAGGGACATCGCAAGACTATGAATATACCTAAAGCTTTTGATATTTTTAACAAAATGGTGGAGAAAGGAAAAAGAATAAATTGTGTGATTGGAAGTTCGATCCTTCAGTGCTGTTGTCAGATGGGAAATTTCTCAGGAGCTTATGATCTGTTTGAAGAGTTTAGAGAGTTGAACATTCCTCTTGATAGGGTTTGCTACAATGTTGCATTTGATGCTTTGGGAAAGCTTGGCAAAGTAGAAGAAGCTATTGAGCTGTTCCGAGAAATGACGGGTAAAGGAATAGCTCCTGACGTCATCAACTACACGACGTTGATAGGTGGTTGCTGTCTACAAGGTAAATGTTCTGATGCTTTTGATTTGATGATTGAAATGGACGGATCAGGTAAAACACCTGATATTGTTATATATAACGTACTTGCTGGTGGATTGGCTAGGAATGGTCTTTCCCAAGAGGCACTCGAAACTTTGAAACTGATGGAAGATCGGGGGGTAAAACCCACTTATGTTACACACAATATGGTCATTGAAGGCCTGATTGTTGCAGGTAAACTAGACAAGGCTGAAGCTTTCTATGAGAGTTTGGAACATAAGTCTCGGGAAAATGATGCAAGTATGGTTAAAGGCTATTGTGAAGCTGGCTGTCTTGATCAGGCATTTGAACGATTCATTAGACTGGAATTTCCTCTGCCCAAGAGTGTGTATTTTACTCTATTCACTAGTCTTTGCGCCGAGAAGAATCATATCAGCAAAGCTCAAGACTTACTGGATAGAATGTGGGAACTTGGAGTCGAACCTGAGAAGAGCATGTATGGAAAGTTAATTGGTGCATGGTGTCGAGTTAATAATGTGAGAAAAGCCCGGCAGTTTTTTGAAATTTTAGTTACTAAAGAGATTATCCCTGATTTGTTCACTTACACAATCATGATTAACACCTATTGCCGGTTAAACGAGCTGAAGCAAGCCTATGCTCTTTTTCAAGACATGAAGAGGAGAGATGTCAAACCTGATGTGGTAACATACACAGTTTTACTCAATAGCAATCCAGAGTTGGATGTGAAGAGGGAAATGGAAGCCTTTGATGTTAAACCAGACGTTGTCTTATACACAATCATGATTAACAGATATTGCCAGTTAAACGACGTGAAGAAAGCCTATGCTCTTTTTAAAGACATGAAGAGGAGAGAAATCGTACCTGATGTGGTAACATACACAGTTTTGCTCAAAAACAATCCAGAACTGGATCTTACGAGGGAAATGAAAGCCTTTGATGTTAAACCAGACGTTTTCTACTACACAGTTTTGATTGATTGGCAGTGCAAGATTGGTGATCTTAAAGAGGCGAAAGGAATCTTTGATCAAATGATCGAAAGTGGGGTGGATCCTGATGCTGCACCTTACACAGCACTAATAGCTGGTTGTTGTAAGATGGGAAATCTTAAAGAGGCGAAAATGATCTTTGATCTAATGATTGAAAGTGGGTTAAAGCCTGATTTTGTGTCTTACACAACACTAATAGCTGGTTTTCGTAGGAATGGGTTTGTACGTAAGGCGTTCACACTTATGAAAGAGATGTTGGAAAAGGGGATTAAGCCGACTCAAGCTTCCCTGTCAGCAGTACACTATGCTAAATCAAAGGCCAAGGGACTCCGATGATGATTAAGAGCATATATCTAAATGGTCAGGTGAGGATGTGGAACCACAGTTATTGGTCTTGAGAACAAATTTCTTTGTCAGTTAACAAGAAATTTAGGATCTGCATCGGCGTGTATGAGGATGTGAGCTCACTATTATCCTCAGTGAACACGTATCTTCAGGGCTCCAGTTTTTGAGAACGAAACTGGTAGAATGCGGAACGTTAAAAGACAAAGGCGGACCGAAGCTTGTCTTGTGGAGCTTGAGAACAGGGAACCATAAAGGTAGAAAGAAACCTTGCTTATTACAAACCATTTCTTAGAAATTTATCCGGTTGAAGGAATAAACTCACCTAATTCACAACAATATCACTGCAGGAATACAGGTAAAGCACAATGACCGGATTGTGGCAATAACATCTACAAGAAGGATCAGGATTCATAAGCTCTGCTTTTTCTTACTATGGCGTCATCTTGACGCAGGAAGTAATAATCTCCAGAAAGCATCACGAGAATATAAACTAACAAGAAGCCCTATTGATTGTATTTGTAATACGTAAAAATGTAAAGTGTAATTTAGTAACCCAAACAAGCCTTGTAAACGTGTTCTTAAGTAGCTAAACTGTAAATTGTAGAAGATCTTCAATGAAGCATATTCATATCTAACCAAACCCAACTCCTCGTCCCAGACCGAATAACCAAGTACATAAATTTGATATCCGAGTCCAAGATCTCAGCCTCATAACTATTCTTAGTGGGGATAATCATAAAATCTCATCTACTCTTAATAATTATCAACAATAGAGGTTTCTAGAAATGAGTTTTTTCTTTTAAAATTTATTTATCTACGCTTCGGCTTTGGTTTCTTCTGTTTCCACGAGTTGAGCAGATAAACAACTCCTTCCTTGATAGTCGCTTTTCTGTTTTCTCTGAAATTCCAAAGCTCAGGCACTATGTACCTTCCACTGCCATTATACTCGTTCCTTTCTTTAAGCGCTTGTGTCACAGCTGCATACACTTCCTCACCCAACTCTTTCCTCAGCTCTTGTAGCTTCTCATCTTCTTCATTCAGTTCTTCCTGCAAAATCGTTATAGTCTCTTTCATGTTCTTATATTGCAGGAGCTAAGATATCATCTAGAAGCATTGTTTTAAGAGAAAAACGTGTATGTACTATTGTTTACCTTTGGGGTTCCATCTTTTACGACGACCTTAATCGGATGCCAAGCCGAGTCTCCCAAGTGCTCCTCCCACAAGGAACAGAGCTCTGCGGCTTTTTCATCAGCTTCTTCGGCTGGATATTTCTCTTTAGCTAATTTTTGGAACGGTTTCTCATCCAATGCTCCCATTCTCTTCACACCAATGTAAGCTCGTGAGGTCAACTCCCGCATTGACTGCACATAGGTTAAGCATGGTTAGTAGCAAATATCAGAATAAATGGCAAATCACTTCCACTATCATCTGAGATTTCTATCACGAGTTACCAGGTATGAACATGGAGTCTCACTAGATCAACACCATAAATGTTCATCAATCAGAAAATCCAAATAACAAACCCTCAAAGGAAGAAGAAATGGAGAGAGGCTGAGAATTGCTTACATGAATCAAAGCCTTGCGCGCATCCTGTAGCTCATCATTAGTGTAGCCATGTTTTACAACAAGAGTTTGATAGAGCGACTCTTGGAATTCCCAATCCTCTTCTTTCTCCTTCAGTTCTTCCTTTGTCTTTTCTATCATCTCCTTGATTTTTGAATCTTCACCTTCACCTTCTTGCATGTGTCCCATGACCTGCAAGTCACCCCTCATACGCTCTATCTCTAGCTCCAATGCCTGCTCAGCATCGAGTTTCTGCTCAAGCTCACGGACTTGCTTACGTAATTCATCTTTCTCCCTCTGTAAACAACAGCCAATTTTATAGATACGACCAAAAATCAAACCAACAGCAACTTGAACATTAACTTTCAAAGTGTTTTTAGTTTACAATAAAGCTTACCTGTTGCTGTTCTGCCAATCTCATCATGTCTTCATCAGCTTTGTTTTGTTCTTGAGTTGCCATTAAGTTCTGGCAGAAATTATAAGATTTCACGAATCTTGCTAAGATCAGGGTAAAGTTGTACAAAGCATGTGAATGTTACCTTCTGCTTTTGCCATTGAAGCTTTCTCCGCTCAGTCTTATTCTTAGCTTGACACTTATCCAGATATTTCTCCCGGTCTTCATATTCTTTCCTTTGAGCTTCCAGATGCTGAGAGGCCTTTTCATGTTCTTCATAAATACTTGCCAAATAATCACGCGCAGTTTGCTGCATACTACTCATTTCTAAACATTGAAAAGCAAACTTATCAGTTTCCAAATACTAGACCAAGCACGCACCTCAATCAAGCAAAAATTCATTTCATAGTAAGAAAACATACTTTCATTATGTGTGTCGATCATTTCATCCTTCTCTCTCATTCGTTTCTCAAGCACTGAACTGGTTTTTTTGTAGATGCTCTCCATTTGTTGAAGATTAGTGTTTTTGTCTTCCAGTGTGTTTTCCAAGTTTGAGACAAGCGTGAATGTCTTTCTTTGATCTTCTGCCTCTTTACCAGAAACACTCTTCAAGTCCCCTTGTTTCCTGAGGTGGTCACCAATAGCAGTTCTTGAATAGTAGTCATCTTGTTTTGCTACCCAACCATAAAGTTTATCACCTGGATCACGTGTGGAATCATGGTCTCTTTTCCCACACTGATTCACTTCAAAGTGTTTATCAAACATGGTCGCGTTTCTGAATCCTTCCCACTCTTTACCAAAGTCAACAATAGCAAAACCAGTAAAACCAAATTTTCCATTCCACAGTGGCGTGACTTTGTGGGGATTAAACCCATTGTTGAGCAGTTCTTCTCTTATCTTGCTTCCACTCTCACCAGCATACTTCCCTGTTTTCTCATCTAAAGTTCTTTTCATGTTCGCCAGGATACCTTTCCAGGGATGCACAAACATCTGATCCCCATTACCAGCACCCAAAGAAACTAGCTTCTGAGGAGCAAACCTAGCACCATGGCTGAGACCAATCTGTTGGACAGGTTCTTCTCTCTCTTTAGCACCAGAAACTAGGCAAGGTCTTTTGACAGGGTATGATTTGTCTTCGTTGCTAAAAGAGGGGTTGGGTTTATCAGAAAACTTTGGTCTTTTCTCACCACTTCGTCCAGGATCATCTCCTGAGACAGACTTTGGTTCAGCTTTGACAATATGAAGTGAAGTAGATTTTTCAATGCTTATGAATTCTCCTTCTTCAGCAGTTAACAATGTAGATTTCCACTTTCTGGTAAACTCCTCTTTAGGAAGAGAAGAGACATCTGAAGTTGGAGTAGGATCTGGTCTTTCCCGAGGGCGGAGATACTTCCTCATATACCTCTCCAGTGCAAGATGTCTAGCTTTTTCTCTCCCATCCTTAGTGCGGGAGCTACCGCCAATACCAGAAGCATGACGATACAAGTCATCAAACTGGTAATCACGCTTTCGATCTCTGTAGCAGAAGGGACACCTGAACAGAGACTCTGAGAATTTGACCTTCCTAGTACCATCTTTCATTTCACTGTAGTATCGGTACTCCAAATCTTCCAGCTCTCTTCTGGAATACATTGCAACCTACAACACAAAAACATCCAAAAGAAGCTGGTTTAAAATCCAATCAGCTAAAAAACAAAAACAGGACAAAAAAGAGAGAATGAGATAGTTATCGTAGTTATGCAAACTGGCGTTGCAAAATTTGAGTTATATTTCATCAAGGTCCATGATCATCATAGCATGAACCCTTATACTTAAACCCTAAACCTGAAATTGACTAACCCAATTGCAGAAACCTACTAAAAATCACAACTTCTCACAACCTAGACGAAGAAGATGAGTAAGAACAAAACCCAGTAATTACAAAAAGACAAATTTCCATTAGAAGAAGATGAGAACAAAGCCACTGAAAACCCTAACATAATCCAGCTGCATTTTGCCAACCAAAAAAGAGAAGATGAGAAGAATAAAATGGAAATTGCGTCTCTACAGAGCAAAAACCCAGCGAAGAGAGACACAAAATGAAGAACAATGTAAAGCAACTAAACGAAAAGAGAGAATTTCACGGAAACAGTTTCAAAAACAAAAACGTAAAATGTCTGTAAATAGGAAACAAGCGAATAATGTAGAGGAGGAAGATGAAGCGAAACCTTATGAATCAGCAAAGAGAATGGCGAAGAATTGCAGGTGGGAGATAGAGAGACGCGTAAACCGTGACTGGAAAGAAAGAGTGAAGAAGACGGACGAACGATATTGGCGTCTTCTTTAGCCTTTAGTTAATTGGTCATTCATTTTAAACCGAATTAAACCAATCACAATATTAAATTAACCGGAATTGAATTGAATTGAAATTTTGTTTATAGATTTGATTGGTTTGCAATTTTCATAACCGAGTTAACCGAAATTTCAATTTGCTACGACAGTACGTTTCGAAATTTGGATCTTTTGATTGATTTTTGACTAGGAGGAGCAAAGAGTTTCTGACATACACGTGCTCTTCTTCTTGGTTAAGACTTGAGAGATGAAAAAAGATCCCCACATAGCTTTAGTCCAACGGATAAATAATGTTCAACGTTCCACTCATTTACCCATGTAATACTATCACTTTCTTCAGAGAATCCAATAATATCATTGAAGACCCTCCAAGAAACTGAGATTGAGATTAAGATAAAATTAAAAAACAACAATTTTTCTCGTTCTCAGACCGAGTTTTATGGTCAGGGAATCCAACCAGAACTAAGATTAAGAACGAACTGATCTTTAAAATAAATCCTAACGTTTCATGAGAAAACATACTTTCTACACTGATAATGATCATGGCCTCATTCCAATTCAGCGTCGATGATAATTTGACATCTTAGAGAACGTTTTGTGAGTTTATCAAGCTCCTCGTAGATATCTGATTCCGAATAATGTTGAGGACAACCCATGAAACACACAATCAGTTTCTCGAGGACTGCTGAGTTTTCAAGAAAGTATCTCGCTATTTTCATATCCTCTTCCCCCCAGTCAAACAATCCTTTTATCTCAACACGCTCAAGAGTCGATACGAAACATCGAGGCACATTTACGAGTTTTAACTCCTCCATCACCTCCTCTGGATAAACAATTTTCTGCAAACACCACAAAACAAGAGCCATGTACTCAATTATAAACATCCTTAAGAAACACAAAGTTGTTACGCCAAAAACATAAAAAGGATTTACCAAGATTAAGTGTTTCAGATTCGGGAAACTCTCAAGAAAGGCTGGCAAAAACTGTAACAAGGAGCTCGGGAACTCAGCCTGAAGACGGGATACGTTATTGAATTTGGGAATCGATCCTACTTTTGAGTAAATATGAAGGGCCTGCAACAAGAAGAAAGTAAAAAATGGATACTAATGAGAGTTTTCCACTTATTAGACAAAGACCAAGACTTGTTGTATAAAAATATATATATATATATATACCTTCACTGTTTGATGAGAGATGATCATATGTCTTACAATAGATATCCCGGTGAGAAAATCACGGATTTCATTTCTCTTTGCCAAGTCCTCCGGATCAAACATCCGGCCAAACCCGAAAATGAATTTGATATCGAGGTCAATCATGAATAAAGAAGTCAGGTTCTTCACCATGAATCTATCGAAATGGTCTTCTTTAAGACTCATATACTCTAGTCCTGGAGCATCAATCTCAAATGTCTGTGCCACGCTCCGAAAACAAGAAATACTGTGCTCAGACGGAATAGAAAACCTCTTCAAGCTTCGAGATCTCACACGAGTAACCACCAATTCATCATCACAAAGATAAATCAGTTCTTCAAGAACAGGACATCCTGAAACAAGCTTCTCCAGATTCATAGTACCACTACTATGCCAACGAACTTCTCGAAGATGCATGAATTTGAGACAAGGCATGTAAACAAATCCCGGATCCGCAAGACCCGAAAACGAAAGCTTCAAAGAAACCAATGTCTTACTCGTATAAAGATTCAGAGGCATGAACTCGATACAAGGATAGACAAGGCCGTCATCAGCATCTTGATAATAGGTATTGCTCTCAACATCTAAAACTCGAATTCGGCGGTTAACCGCATCACGGATCCGATCCGAGAACTTGATGATCTCATCTCTACTGTAATTTACCTTGAATTTTAGCAGGCGAGACTCATTGTTAAACTGGAGAAATCTGTCGATGAAATCAATCAACACTTTTTCGTTGTTGTTATCAAAAGGGAAATCACGGCAGTTCAAGTCAAGTCCGGGAACATTGAGCCATAGATTCTTCCATCTAGTCGATAAAACACTCGTCTTCACCGAATCTTTAGTCGGAAGGTGTAAGAGTATTTGACTAATCAAAGATTCCGGCAATTCGCTAATTCTATCGAACCCAGGCATCACCTAAGTCGTGCATTAACAAACAAACAATAAATTCATCGAATTCCAAAATCTAGGATACAAGTATCAATTATAAACGAAAAACTCACCGTGAATTCGATTCGCCGGTAGGTTTATCGGCCGGAGTTGTGGGTAAGCGATGAACTTGATAATGAGAGAAAACTCGAACCCTCTATATATATACGTTCGAAGCGTTTCCGATTCCGATTTGCGTTTCGAATTAAAAAAACGGTTGCCATTATTAATTCTTTAATTTTCCATTAATAACAAACGTTACACATGTCAAACCGACTTTCTCCGGTTAAACCGGTTACCTTAATCGGTTCGGTTCGTTTTCCATAAAAGCTTGACAATAATTTTTGTCAAAATCAGTTTTAACATATTGGTTTGCTTAAGCGAATGAAACACACATAATTTATTGTGATAAAAAGCTCAGTCGATCTTAGCAGCGGAAGTGTGAGATATCCAATTTGCTCTCCAAGTAATGGAAGGCGAAAGAAGACGCTCTGTTTTCCAACCTCCTGATCTCAGCTGCATAGGAAATAACAGAAAAGAGTGAAAAACAGTAGCTTTCGTGTCACGAAAACACGGATTAATTGGTCCTAGTGATTTAATCTTACCTTGTGGAGAAATTCGTCATAGTGTTTATCAATCCAAGCTTCTCCTTCTGAATAGAAAGATGTGCTTTTTTCCATAAGGTTTGCCAAAACAATGGCGTGGATATATGATTTCAACACATCTGCAGCCGATGAATCTTTGTGCAAGATCACACTAACATTTCCCTTTCTGTGAGCCAATAAATACTTAGCTGCGGGAGTGTACAACAACAGACAAGAACCGAGTTTACGTCAAATATAGACAGAGAAACTAATGTCCTTGAAAGGTTATGGAGAAAGAAATCAATCAAACCATTCTTGTATGAAGAAGCTCCAACACCATTTAGCAGCTGCATCCTGCCCATAAATATGTCAACCTCAAACCGATTCTTTCCCCAAAAACTTTGTGGTGACTAAAGTATAGAACTTACATTTCTAGACGAGGGAGAGAAGAAACTCTTACACCTAAGTGCACTCTCTTATGCAATAGCTTTGAATTAGTTGACCTCAATGAAGTGGCCCACACGGGCAATACACCCTCCATTGAAGAAACCTGTTCGGGGGAGAGAACTGGTGACATGTTTAGTTAAAGAAAGTTACTGATATATGGTGCAATGATTAAGATGAACCAATTAAAAACAAAGGGAAGCCATTGAAGCGTTGTAAGAATCAATGATGCATTTTGAAATTACCTTGGCCAGTTTGCATGAAATGTGTTAGAAGAATCGAACTCCTCTCGAAGTTTAATGAATTCAATACAAGACACCGGACAGCTCTATAGTTTGCTAAATATAGAAGAAAGGAAAACAGTTAGAGAAATTCTGATTTGATCTATGCTTTAACCTTCATCTGTAACTTACCATACATATGAAACACGGTGAGAGAGAGAAACGAAAACCAAATAGCCATAGGGTTTCCAGAGGTAAACCGAGCTAGCAACATTCCCAATGACATGCCCATCATAGTTGCCATAGTCTCTTGGCTTCCTTCCTTTCAATAGATAAAATAGAAATAAAGAACTACTAAAATTTCACATTTATAGTTTCTATATCATTCACAGTGAAAAGAAGTAAAGAGTACCTTAGCAGATATATCCGCTGCATTGTCTTGAAGAGCAAAGTGCTGTGTTAGAGCTGCTCTGGTTGCTCCACTTGCAACACCAGCTAATTAGAGTAGCCAAGATCGAAAAAAAGTTAAAAACCAAAGTACCAATCCAAACGGAAGTCTTAACTTCAGTGTTGGATGCAAGTAATGAAACTCACTAAATGATCTTGATAGGCTCCCTAAGCAAACGACAACGATAAAGGCAGATGGAAACAAAGGAGAAAGAAGGTCCATTAGCATTCCTGCAATAAAAGCAACAAAGCTTGTAGTCATTCAACTGAGAACCAAATACAGGCAGTTATTTTCAAGTGTGAATGTGGCAACTAACTATTACATACCAATATCGTTCATAAGGTCAGCAACTAGGCGCCACATTTTTGCATTGCTATCCAGGTTAGAACCCTGAAGAACAGAACAGTGCCCATTACAAAAAAAAAAAAAAAAATGTAAGCAGGCTAGATCTCGAAGAAGAGGAAAATGAAAAGAATTGATAAGTATATGATTGAGCAGAATCTGCTATATGGGCACCTGATAGAATGTGAACAATATGCCTCCAAGCATCCCAGTAAAATCCCTCAAAAACCACTGCACATTACAAACGAGATACAATCACTATAATCCCTTGCAATTTATACTACTTGAGAGAGCCAATGAATTCCAAAGTAGGAGAAAGGTTATACGTTAGCAATAGAAAAAAACACACCTGAAATGTAGCACCTATAACTGTTGCAGATTTCTCACCGACCCCAATTGCACTCAAAAGAGCCTGAAAATAGTCCAAATCAGGACTGCTGCAGCAGACAAATTTAAAAATGCAAAAGCTCAAAACTTGATCTCACCTGAGTGGAAAGCATCATCTTTATATAAGTTGAGAGCCCCTGCAACAAACATAGCCGAGAGTCACAAATTCAAACACAAGTCAAATTTCACAGTAACTATAAGGCACACAAGCATGTTCTTACATACCTGTAATGTGTCCCAGAATTGAAACCCTACATAATCCGGAGTTACACTACCAGGAAAGCCCTGCACCAGACAAAGTTCAATTCAGAGAAGTCCAAACCCTAATCCGGAGAACACTAACACTTGCCTCTGGTACAAATGCTTGAAGAACTCGTCTCCATACATGATTGAAGCGATTAGCAGACCTATAAATCACTCACAGGAGAAGAAAACCCAAGAAAGTTTCTCAATTTTCACTGAAACTATCAGATTTGGATTGGGATTGAATAGAGGAAGAGGAATAAGGGAAGAACCTTTGGATGGAGAGAGAAGCGGAGGCAGTGATGGTTGCTGTTTTGAATAACTTAGTAGAAGAAGAACCATTCCATTCTTCAAGTATAATTGATCCGCAATCAGAGACTTCTTCTTCTCTCATGGCGAATTTTGGCTTCTTACTTTGTGAGAAAGTGAAACAAGGCACTTATTCAAATGTTTAGACTTTATGAGTTTTTTGGACTTTGGGTGTGGTTTCAAATTCAATTGCCATCAAACAGTCGATGACCCAACTGTGATTCGACCCAATCGGTCCAATTTCAAAAGAGGAATCGATCTAGTGGCAACTGGCAAGCACTACCCCAAAAGCTTTTCTTCTGCCTTGATTCATCGTCATTTCTTTTGCGTGTTGAGGGACTTCCATGGCTTCATCGTTATACCCATCTGTCTTCAACCTCAACCCATCTCTAAATTCTGCAGAGGAACATCAAATTCGTGGAATCTGGAAAATGGGTTTCTACAAAAATCCAGAAAGCATTGTAAAAGGTACGTTTTTTGGCAACGTAGCTCAAATGGGAAATATCTTTTGGCTACCAATTGGGTTTCTAAATTTAGTAACACTTATACCAACAAGTCACGGAAGTGTGTGGAAGAAATGTTAGATTGGTCTTTATATGCTTTGTGACTGTGTTTGTGGACTAAGATGTCTGAACCTGAAAACCTTGAAAATGATGCTTAACAAATCCCATTTCCGACTATAAATCACATTTCCTCACTCATCTTTCATTCTCTTCTATTACTGCCTTCTGCTGATTCCCTCTTGGCTCTTACTGTGGGTACTGGTAATGTTCATTCTATTTCGAATCCAGTTTCTAGGTTTTGATCATCAGTCACCAACTTTATAAATGTTGTTTCCTACAAGTTATCTCTAGAACACAGCTGTGTATCATATTCATCTTCTGCTACATGTGGTTTGTTTTGGTCTTTATTGTTCTAGGTAACATTTCTTCAGAAATTTGTTTCAGGCTCTTCTTGTGAGAAATGGGAAAACTTGTTGCTGTCTTGATCTCTCTTGTGTTAGCACTTGGAACAATTCATGAGGGGAAATGTCATCGAGACCAACCTTTGTCAGGACATTGTTTGATCTGAATGAACAAGCTTATATCAAAGCCTCTCCAACAGTTCTTGGATCTGATGTAAAGCTTTCTCTTTTTTTTTATCAGAAACAAATGCAAACTCTTAATCACCATCTTTAACTTCAGTGCTTATTTTCAGGGTCAACATATGGAGTGGGTGTTGGTTGAATATAGTTCTCCGTACCCATCAGATGACGATTGGATCGGAGTGTTCTCTCCAGGGGATTTCAAGTAAATATAACACACCTTCTTGTTAAAAGCTTTTTCAAATCTAAAGGTTTAGTTTTGATATGATAAACATAAACTCATAAAAGCTTTGTATTGCACCTTTTCTGTTTCTACAGTGCTTCGATTTGTCCTGCAGAAATAAAATACGTTGATCCACCTCTACTGTGTTCTGCGCCTATCAAGGTCTTTGCCTCATCATGGTTTATAACAATTTTTGTGCTTTTCTTCTCTGAAATGAGTCTTAAATTTTTCTTCTTTACAGTTTCAGTATGCTAATTATAGCAACGCAAGATACACAAGTACAGGGAATGCTTCTTTGAAGCTACAACTCATCAATCAGCGAGCAGATTTTTCCTTTGGACTCTTTTCTGGCGGTTTGTTGAATGTAACACTCTTTCACCCACAATTTCTTTAGATTTACAGGTTTTTAGCTTCATCGTTAACAATTCCTTGGTTTTGTTTTCTCCTTTTCTGATAGCCAACGCTTGTGGCTGTCTCAAACAAGGTAGTCTTTGAGAACCCAAATGCACCACTTTACCCACGTTTGGCACTAGGGAAAGAATGGGATGAAGTAAGATTCAGAAAACTTTTATTTAACTTTTTTTAGTGATTCTTTCTGTAGTAACTAATTGCTTATGTAAACTTGTTGTAAACAGATTACAGTGACGTGGACTAGTGGGTATGGACTCGACATAGCAGAACCTGTAGTGGAGTGGGGCATTATGGAAGGAGAGCGTAAATTCTCGCCTGCTGGAACTTTGACCTTCGGGCGTAACAGCATGTGTGGTGCGTAGATCCGTTATAACTTCCATACTTACACACACACACACTAGTAACATTCCCGCTTGTTCTGATTTAACAGGGGATCCTGCTAGAACCGTGGGCTGGTGTGATCCCGGTTAC